TAAATAACAGAGTGTTGATGAATGGATTCATACAAGATATGGGACGACAACTTGTACGCAGAGAGTATGTTGACGAGCCTGGAAAGCGAAGCAGGTTGTGGCTTTTTGATGACATCATTTATGTACTGAACAATAACAAGGCAAGTGGTTAAAAAGGGAAGATGGAGCATGATAATATCCTTTTGTTTGACATACTTCTAAACGTTATTGTACTGTCCAGTTAACTTATTCTAAATTCTTGTTTTCAGGGAACAAATGCAGTTGAAGGTATAGCCTTAAACTTGCCTAAACTAAAAGCGGCATGCTGGAACTCGGAGTCCTTCTCAAACATGCAAAATCTTAGATTTCTCAAAATTCATAATCTGCAGATGACCCAAGGCCCGGAATATCTTCCTAATGCCTTGAAATTTCTTGAATGGAGCGGATATCCTTCAAAATTTCTCCCACAAGGATTTCAACCTGAGGAACTTTGTGAGCTTAACTTGTGCAATAGCAGCATTGGACAGCTTTGGAGGGGAACAAAGGTCAGATTATGGATACCCGACAAAAAGTTCTACATTTTATTTTATTTGGATAAATACTAAAGGTTTGTGTTTCTACGTTTTGAACAGTGCTTAGGCAATTTGAAATCCATCAACGTTAGCTACTCCCAGAATCTGACCAGGACCCCAGATTTTACAGTTACCCCAAATCTTCGTAGATTAATTCTTGAAGGTTGTACAAATTTGGTGGAAATCCACCAATCCATTGGTGAGCTCAAAAGGCTTATATTCTTGAATCTTAAAGATTGCAGAAGTCTTGGACATCTTCCGGATGATTTGCGAACAGAAAGTCTTAAAGTTCTTATTCTTTCTGGGTGTTCAAATAATAAGAAAATCCCAGTATTTTGGAGTCCTATGGAACACTTGTCGGAACTTTTTTTGGATAAGACTGCTATAGAAGAAGTACATACTTCAATCGAATGTCTAACTGGCCTTACTTTATTAAATCTAAGAGATTGCAGAAATCTCGATGGTCTTACAAGCAATATTTGCAAGTTGAGGTCCCTCAAAAGTCTCAATCTCAGTGGATGCTCAAAACTTGAAAAGCTGCCACAGAACTTGGGAAAGATAGATTGTTTGGAGGAGCTTGATGCTTGTGGTACGGCTATAAGTGCTCTACCATCGTCCATTTCCCGTCTGGAAAATCTTAAAGTGCTATCACTTTGTGGATGTAAATGGATGCCAAGAAAGAGGACGAGGTCACTGGGTTTGCTGTTGCCAAACACTGATTCTGGTCTGCGTTGTTTAACACTGCTGAATCTCAGTGACTGTAATCTTCAGGAGGAAAAAATCCTGGAAAATCTTGGCTGCTTATCCTCATTAGTATCACTAAATCTCAGTAAAAACAATTTTGTTACTCTTCCCAAAAGCATCAGACAGCTGTCCAAGCTTCAAAATTTGAATTTGGGTAGTTGTAAGAGTCTTCAAAAATTGCCGGACCTTTCAGAAAAACTAAACTTCAGTGTTGGGGGAGAAGGCAGTTATTCACAGGAAAGGCTGTCATCATGTTTCAGTTTTATTAATTGCTCCAAAGTGGTTGACAATCAAGGCTGCAAAAATATGGCATTTGCAATGTTAAGGAGATCCCTAGAGGTTCTCTCTCTTTGACCCACGTGCGCGCGCACACACACACGTGTTTTCCTTTATATTCTATATTTATCTTTTGAATTTTATAAGACGCATATCAATTGTTTAACTTTACTATTTGTATGGTATAGGGAATCCCTTATGCAGGGAATAGATTTGAAGCTATATTTCCTGGCAGTGAAATTTCTGAGTGGTTCAGTTATCACAGTGACGGGCCTGTAGTAAGCACGGACCTCCCTCACCACTGGTATAAGAACAGGTGGATGGGATATGCTTTGTGTGTAGTTTTTGTTCTTCGTCGACGTCACCCACCTAACCTGCTTGGCAAATGGAAGTATGGGACCCATAGCACCGCACATGGTCTTCGTTGTGAAGTGAGGCCTGGGAATTTGGGCGAAGGTGGCCGCTGTCCTTTCTTTGGCTGCAGCGAAGAGTTAGGCCAAATTGAGTCAGAACACATTTGGCTGTCCTTTGTATCCGGTGAATATTTTGGTACATCGTGGCAAGACAGCTGTCGTCACCTTGAGTTCTCATTTAAATCCATAGGCCCTGGCTTGGAGTTGAAGAGGTGTGGAGTCCGTTTCCTATATGAGAAAGATTTGGTTGGAATCAAACAGTGATTCTAATAAAATCTTGCTTGACAAATCAGAAGCTGTAAAAGGTGCCATTGTCAAATATTCCGTTTATCTGTGGGAAAAAACTTATTGCATGACTTGAATGAGTATGGTGCAGCCTAAAATTACTTCCATCAGAGGAACTTCTTTTCCAGATGAGGTCTCATCTGGGAAATGAACTATGCAAATGTAGCATGTTTGTAAGTTGTCTGTAAGAGTATAGGCATGATCAATATATCTCCCATCTCTTCTGAACCGTTGTCTCTATCTTACTGGACTTCTTATGCAGTTATATTTTAGTTATGAGTGACTTCTCTCAGAGTTAAATACTTGAATGGTTTAGCAAGCCTGGTAATGATGGATAAGTGAGAATCCCGCCAACAATTTTGGCAAGAAGTTGAGACTTGAGAGGAACCCCACCACTAAACCCGGCCATGCTTACTGTTTGTGCAAATAATCTCGCATGGGATGTTGGCTAAAGGACTTGAGTAAATAGACCACACCTGGGGGCTAAAGGCCCTCCGATGCATAAGTTAGTTTGAGTGTTTGTAAGAAAACAATAGCTAACAAAATGGTACTAAGATGTATGTATGGTGTGAACCGGATAGCCGAAGTCGTGTGTGATGGCCGGAGCCGTGTGGAGAAAATATGGAGAGGAGAGGGAGAGAGCTTTAGGTATTTTTCTTGGATTTTAGGAGTAGGTTTAGATGTACCTTGAATGATGAATGAAACCATTTATTTATAGGAACCTCAGAGGCTTTGATGATGATTATAGCTCTTTATTAGGATAATATCTGAATTAATGATATTACCTTATTAAATAAAGATAATATCCAATAATTAAGATATTATCCCTATTAATTAATTAAGATAATCTTTTTTTCCACGTAGCGTGCTGTGATTAGAGACGAAAATATTTGCTCCCACACTTTCTACTTGTTACCAAAAACAAAACAATCCCAGATAATTTGAGTGGTGCAGCCAATCATCAGCCAGTACAAATTAACATATCTCAAGCCAAGCAATTGAAAATTTTGAAACCATACACAGAACCTTTACATCTTTCCCTTCTTCAACTCCTCAATGGAAATATGATGTCTTTCAGAATTTTAGAGGTGATGACACTTGCAAGGGTTTTCAAAGTATAAATTCCCCTTTCTTTTAAATGCAAAAACCGTTGCATTGTATTTTCTTTTTGAATACTCTGTTTTTTAATGAATTGTGAATATCATGGTGTTTTCAAGTAGCCTTTGGCTTTTAAGCTTTGTTTGGATTTGTATTCTCTGAATGTTGGTTTTCAAGCTTCTGGGCTCCATCTCCATCTCCACACCTGGTTTTGGTCTTCATCCAGTCTTGTTTGTTATTGGCTTCACTTGCATCATCGATCCCATTAATAGGTGTGTGGGGGGGGTGAATACGTAATTTGCAGAGACGTGTTGTTTCCAATGTTGTGTCAAAATGTGTTGGTTCCAAGAACCTCCCCACTTGTTAACTTGTTACAGTACAAGTCGCTCTCTTTGAAGATTGTAAGTCCACATTATTTGTTTCTAATAAATACATAATTCGATGTTATTCCTTCTAATAAAAATCATTTCTTGTGGAAGAACACAAAATTTGCGTACAGCGGGTCAACGAAAAAAGATCCAACAATTATTCAACGCTCTGGGCGGCAAGAAGAAGATGCATCAACTTGAGATTGGGAGGAGGCCCTCCACTCCACTGAACCCGGCTATGCTTCTACCTGCGACCAAAAACTATGCCCATATTATTTCAGTGGTGCTTCTCAAGACGAGATGACGACCAATTGAATCCATTTCGAATTGCGCACCAAGAAACCAGGTTAGCCTCCTCCTGGCTTAGCTATTTTAATTTCTTTTACATTTTCTGCATACATATGTTTGGCAGATGCTAGCTACTGACTCTGTATCTGGTATGTTGGGTTTTCAAATCTAGGACAGTATAGCTGAGTCAACTCTAGTCAACTCTAGGATATAGAAGCATCTACTTACTCACTACTAAGCATTGTAAATTGTAATATACAAAGTGATCAATACAAATCATAATTTCTCTCTGAATTGAATTCTTTCTTCTTCTTCCCCTTCCTTCATTTACTCTAGGAGTTAAAAAGTTCAGTTGATTCTTGGGTCTTTTCGACCAACAGAGATTAAAAAATTACTAACTCGAGGAATTTGATTGAGACGGGTCAAATTACATATGTTGTATTATTTATTGTGAAAAGGAGAAAGATAAAGTTGGCGGTGAATGGTATTCAGCTTGGGAGCCATATGTACGTACTTGTACATTCACTAGAGGAGTGTCAATGTGTCTTCTATGATAGTTTCAAACCTCCATGATTTGATTAATGGTTGTTGTGATGAAATTTTCGTTTCTTCAAGACCATATTATGTGAGTGGATACCATATTGATTGTGATAAAAATTATATCAGTTGGGATGTATTGGCATTGCATTTTCAGCTGCTACGTACTAAATGTTTACCGTCTTCAATCAATATCCAACAACTGTCATGTTATTATCAAGGAATAACATCACACTTGTGATCATGACCTCATTGTACACTTATACCACTCTTTCTTTCTAGAATAATGAGTATTTATATTTGGTTCACATGCCAGTGCCAAGCCTTGAAGATAATGATGAAAGCTACTGGGATTACTCTCATTGTGAGTCCTTAGAACGATCTCCACGCCAGTGAATTTCCACAAACCAGAAACTAAGGAGGAGGTTCCAGCAGCGACAATGAGCATACACAGAACCTTTACATCTTTCCCTTCTTCATCTTCGCAATGGAAATATGATGTCTTTCTGAGTTTTAGAGGTGAAGACACTCGCAAGGGTTTTACAGACCACTTATACACTGCATTGGAACATCAAGGAATTACAACTTTCAGGGAGGACCTTGAACTTCAAAAGGGGATGGCTATTTCTCCACAGATTTTGACTGCAATTGAAGAGTCAAGGTTCGCGCTCATTGTTCTTTCACGAAATTATGCGTCATCAACATGGTGCCTCGATGAACTTGTAACGATTCTTGAATGCATGGAAGAAACAAAAACAGTGCTGCCAATTTTCTATGATGTTGATCCTTCTGATGTCCGAAAACAAACAGGAACTGTTGCAGAAGCCTTCATTAAACATGAAGAGAGGTTTGTGGATGATGCAAAGAAGGTACGAAAGTGGAGAGCTGCCTTTAAAAAAATAGCAAACCTCTCTGGGTGGAATTCAAAGGACTGGTACGGTACTCTTTCTTTTTTCTATTCAAAGGACTGGTATCTCTTATATGTATGAGGAACAGAAATAGAATAAAAATATTTAAACGGCTTTTTTGGAATCATCAATATGAATATGTAGTTGTAATATTGCATTACTTAACAATAGCTGATTTCCTTCTTCTTCTTTTTTACTATGTATACTACAGTTCACATGGGACATAAGAATTAGATGACCAGTTCCAAACTCAGTCTCATTACAGTAATAAAAACGAATAAGTGCAATGTAGGATAGGTATTGTGTAATTATTAAGCTTTGGCTTGATCAACTACTTTGACCAGATTTCAGGTCCCATTGTAAAAGCATCTCTGCATTTTGTTTGTTTATCTGCATTTGAAAACTGAAAACTAGTAAAAGTATATCCGCATTAATTTATACTGATAATGTGAACAATTTTTGTTGTAGGTACGAATCAAAGCTTGTCAAAGATATTGCTGAAGTGTTACGGAGAAAATTACTGTTTAGTTCAGTAGAGAACCAAATAGTTGGAATTGATTCAAGATTGAAACCAATCAACTTGCTCTTGGGTGCAGGGGTGGATGATGTTCGCTTTGTTGGGATATGGGGAGTGGGCGGTATTGGTAAGACAACTATTGCTAGAGTTGTACATGAGAGAATATCTAATGAATTTGAATTTAGTATCTTTATTGGCAATGTCAGAAATATTGTTGAAAAAGGTGGTCTTGTTAGCCTACAAAAGCAACTTCTTTCTGGCATATGGATGACAAAGGATGATATATCAACCTTCATGAAGGAGCCATGATCATAAGGAGGGTTTTATGTCAGAAAAAGGTTCTTCTCATTCTTGATGATGTGAATCATTTTGAACAATTAGAAAGTGTGGCTGGAAATCATGAGTGGTTTGGTTGTGGGAGTAGAGTTCTCATTACCACTAGAAATGAGCATTTGTTGATCAAACATGGAGTGGAGAGAAGATTTCAGGTAAAGGGACTAAAAAGTGAAGATGCTCTTCAACTGTTTACTTGGAAAGCTTTTAAAAAGGATTACCCTGAAAAGTATTATCTTATTTTGTCTAATCACATTGTGAGTTATGTCAAAGGTCTTCCATTAGCTCTTGAGGTCTTGGGATCATTCTTGCATGGAAGAGGTTTAAGTGAATGGAACAGTACGTTGGGAAAACTTGGAGTGTGTAACTTGGAAATTTTTGAGGCATTAAAAATTAGTTATGATGGTCTAGATGATAATGAGAAGAAAATGTTCCTGGACATTGCGTGTTTCTTTAACGGGAAGGACAAAGATCGAGTAATAGAAGCTTGTGATGTTTCTGCAGTTGTTATATTAGAAGTCCTCATTGAGAGATCTCTCGTAAAGATTTTGGGTGGAAGGCTTTGGATGCATGATTCGCTCCAAGAAATGGGTCGGCAAATTATACTCCGGGAATTTCCTGATGAGCCTGGCCGGTGCAGCAGGTTGTGGTTTCGTGAAGATGCCGATCATGTCTTGAGCAAAAATACTGTAAGAGATTAATTAGTACATGCACAAGAATAATTTGAGTTGTAATATGATAAAACAAGGTACTCTACTAACCCTTTTTTAACGTTAATTATGAGCTTCACTATTCCATGTTAATAGGGAACAGAGGCAATAGAAGGCATAGTTCTGCACCCAGCTGATCCAGGGGCACAGGTGCATGCAAATGCTAAATCCTTTTCAAAGATGGTGAAACTAAGATACCTCAAGATTAGTAATGTGAGCATTTACAATGGACTTGAAGATCTTCCCAATAGCTTACGCATTCTTAAATGGACGGGGTATCCTTTAACATATTTCCCACCACATTTCAACCCAGAGAAGCTACTAGAACTCAAAATGTGTCATAGTTACATAAAACATTTTCGGATGGGAACAAAAGTACATATCCTTTTACTCATTTGATTTTTATTACCTACAAAAACTGTTCAATCAGGGAAGCTAATTTTGCTATGCTTTTGCAATTTGACAGCCTTTACACAATTTAAAAACCATCAAACTCAGTCACTCTCTGAATCTTGTCAGCACACCCAACTTTAAAGGTATGCCAAATCTTGAGGTTCTGATTCTTGAAGGTTGTACACGATTGTTTGAAGTTGATCCATCAATTCAAGTGCTGGAAAGACTTACTCTGCTGAACTTGAAAGATTGCAAAAATCTTGCCCATCTTCCAAGCAGTGTAGGTTGCTTAAAATCTCTCAAAGTTCTTAATCTTTTTGGTTGTTCAAGGCTTACTATATTGCCAGAAGAGTTGGGTTACATAGAGTGTTTGGAGGAGCTTGATGTGAGTAGAACTTCCATAAGAGAACTACCTTCCTCTATTGGAAGGCTTAAAGGTCTTACTTTGATGAACTTGAAAGATTGCAAATATTTTATGCATCTTCCAACTAGTGTAAATGGCTTAAAATGTCTCAAAGTTCTTAATCTTTCTGGTTGTACAAGACTTCATGAACTGCCGGAAGAGTTGGGTCATGTAGAGTGTTTGGAGAAGCTTGATGTGAGCGGAACTACCATATTATTAGAATTGTTGGCTAGTCTTGTTAGGGAGGTCTCTAACTTATTCTTGTTAGGGAAGTCTTTAACCTAGGGTGGTCTCAAGTAGCCTTTGGCCTTTAAGCTTTGTTTGGATTTGGTTATGGACTTTGCATGCCCTTGGGCGTTTTGTATGCCATTGCAAGAGAGAGCAGTGAATTGAGCAGTGTTGGTTTTGGTCTTCATCCAGTCTTGTTTGTTATTTGCTTCACTTGCATATAGATCTCATGATCCAAGAGAAGCAGTAACAAAGAAGAGTGCCTTGTAACCTTAGGCAATGTTGAAATGTGATTTGATATATTCCGGTTTTGTGTGGAAGAATATCTGCGTCAAATAACTAAGGTAAGACTTTGATCTTTCTAATCAAATTAAATACATGCTTAGAAATAATTCCAATAATTTTTTTCCCACTTGATTCAGTACATCTCTATCTCTTATAATTGAATTACTTTGATCAGTGGGCTAGTTAATTTGTGCTTTTGGATGTTAGCTCTTGTCCTATCTTCTGCATTCTGCTCTGTATTTTTCTGGAGAATTAACTATTTATTAAACTTCATGGGGTGCAATGAAACGCTTCACATGATATACTTACGATACAAATTTGAGTTAGATGAGTGGTTGAGTTTTGCTTTTGAAAGAAGCATTGCAGGTTTGGATATCATTGGTCCTTTAAGCCTTCCATCTTAGAAAACTATATACTTTGTTTACATTCCGAAGCAAATGTTTTTGAAATGGTGCATGTGATCAAGTTCAAGTAACATGATGTGCAGTGTGTTTTAGACCCTGGACCTTGGTGTCCGGGTTCAAATGTTTGGGCTCCGTTTAGATTTACAAGGTTTTGTATAGACAGTCACCGAGTGCATATTATGCAGCTCAAATTCCCAGCTTTTTGTCGAATAGAAAAAATATATTTTCTAATATAATCAAAATTACAAAATTATAAATTCATGCTTCTCCAAAACAACCAGTCTAAAAAGTGGCTGGAAAGACAAAAAGGGCATCCAAAACAACAGACCAAGGAGGATATGCCGAGCGAGGAAACCAGCTTATCCAAGTTAATGCACATGGGGTGGCACAACAGTAGAAAAGTGGGTCAAACTCTCCCCTCCCCCAAAACATCTTGAGACAACTCAATATAATACTAAGTTTTTATCATAAATAGTCAAAATTTAATCCCTAAATTCATAAATGTCAATTTTTATAAAAATTCTCAAATATAGCCAAAACCCCACTTAAATATACTCAAATGTCTTTAAAATTAAAAATCAAATAAATCCACATAAATAAAGGAAAGAAATTTTTAAAAAAACTGCATCTATAGCTTGTATCCCTGGTCATCAATCACAAATATAAATAAAACAAATCATTTTGATCTTCCTTGAATTGATACAAAGAATGTCTGATCTGGAAGAAGGCACACCATTGTTCCATAGTTTCAACCATAAGTCCAAAGTATAACATGAAAAGAAAGCCTGTGGAAGAAGGCACATCATTGTTCTATCCATCACGAGGGACTCGTGAAGGCGGCGGTGTGAGGAGGTCTAACAAGGTTTGCTTCTCATTTGGGGTTAATGGAACACCTCTAACGCCAGCAAAATCAGCAACCAGAAGCGGTGATACCGCAAGTACAGTCCGCATATCAAACTTTGGGGAACAAAGTACTGTCTCCCTAAAATCCTCTTCAAGTTTCTTATAAATCTGTGTCACTCTTCCCATCATGAATCTCAACATGAATTAAGTTTCTAAGCAAGATGACAATATAAGCTTGTGAAGCAGAGAAGACACATTGAATAAAAACTGATATGGTGTGGACAAATGGTCCTCATGGAGATAAACTATGTTTTTAGGTTATTTAAATTTTGAGGGCATTTTCGTCTATTTACGTGAATTTTTGGCTATAATTGAAAGGTTTTATAAAAATTGACTCTCCGTTTGGATGAAGGAATTGCAAATTACATAGAATTTTAAAATTATGGAATTTAGATTTCCGTCATTTCAATTTCTGGCAATTGAAGATTTCAATGTTTGGATTTATGTATGTCGAATTTTGTAAATAACAAAAATTGAAAATTTCAATATTTGGATAGCTCATGTAAATTATAAATGACATAAATTAAATATTTCGAAAGAACAAAAAAATTGATAACCGACATAGAAGGTATTCCTCAAAGTATAAAATAACATATCGTTTGATGAACTATATAACTCAACTTAAACAAACATAGCATATTAGCAAACCAAATAACTCCCCACGTGCAATAAACATAAGCAACATACTTTTTTTTTCTTTTTTTTCTCAATTGGGAGTGCCTTCAGCATCTGAAATTGTTTGTCATTTTCTATCAGCCAAGCAGTTGCGTTTTGATGTTGAAAAATGAAGGTATACATAATATACTCCATCGTTTCTTCAATAGTCCAAATCCTTTTTCAACTACATTCCTTGCAATTGAATGATGTACATTAAATAACTCTTTGTAATTTTCAGGGCGATTGTTCCCACTCCATTCACTCAAGTGATATCTAGTTCCTCTATACGGGGCTAAAAACCCAGGTCCATTAGTATAACCTGCATCCACAAGATTAGTACTTATTTACAATAAGAAATTTTAAAAAGCAAATTAGATATAAAGAGAAAAAAAAAAAAAAAAAAAAAAAAAAAAAAAAAAAAGGGAGGGAAATCTAATTTAAAACTATATTAAAAATTACCTCTTGCTACATGAATTGTTTGTTCCTGCATAAAGCATCTCACAATATACGAGCATTAGATGCGAAGCCCTCCTATCTAGGTAATACATAAATAATCTTAAATCTGGAGCACAAACCCCTAAAACATTAGTGGAGAGATCGCCCTTCCTATTTCGATATCTTGGTCTTTCTTCCGCCAACACTGTTACTGGAATGTGAGTTCCATCAAGTGCCCCAAGATAATTCTAAACATGAATATAAAAAAGTATAAGTATGAAACTTAAGATAACTAGTTGAAAAATAAAATAAAAATCTTTTTTTTTCTTCTAGTTATATAAGTACCTCAAACCACTGCCATTTGCTTCTTTCGGAACTCACAACAGTACTTGGCTGAAATTTCATGTATTCTTCACTAATTCTCATCATGGCATATAAGACTCTGTTAAATTGCCGACTAATTGTTTCGATTGAACGATAATAGTCAAAACCAATGACTCTGTATTTCATGTTGTGAGCAATTATTTTCAAAAATAATGCTACAAATTCTTCAATTGAAATATTTTTTGGCGCTACTTTTTTTTTCATGAAAAGTTTGGCAGTTTTTTTATATGTAAGTTTTAGCACACTGGAAAATATGAATTCCTGCACTATGGAAATTGTGAAATGACGCCTATTTTGGTGGAAATTAAACTCGGGAATTTGATGCCTAAATTCCATGATTTTTTACAAGCGTCATTTAATAAATTCCGCACTTAAGTTGCCAAACAAGGGAATTGTCAATTTCTCCTCTTAAATTCCCGACTTTTAGCTAAATTCCGAGTTATTTTCCCTTATCCAAACGGAGGGTTATGAATTTGGGGGTTAAATTTTGACTATTAATGATTAAAAAAACTCTATTATACTACCTCTCCCTCATTTCTCTCACCTACCCTCTACGATCTCAGCCTCCCTCATATTGCTCACGATCAATGTCTAAAATATTAATGCTTTTGGAAATATCGGTAGTCCAAAAATACGGAAATTTCGATGGAAATATCGGAATATTATCGATATTGATAAAAATTGAATAAAAACCACGAAAATTAAAAGAAAACTTGGAAATTTTTCTTGAAACTTTCGAGGGTGTTTTTTAGTCAATTATCTATTACTTCATCACAAAAAATTGGAAGGAAATGCATTGCAAGATGGGTTTAATTGATTTAAATTGATCCACTAGTAACTGCCATTGAATAGATAAAAGATATAACTAGTCTATCAGTGACAGAATTAATGGGCTCTGGAAGCATATGAAAAAAGACTGAGTAGGCGAAATAAGTCCAGTAGAAAGTGCCTTTCAGTCGAAACTAAATTTAAGGTCTCAGAAGTCTAAAGATGATGAAAAACCTAGAGAAGTAGAAAATGAACCCAACAATAATTGGGAAAATAAAAGAGAAACTTTGGAAAGGAAAGACTATCCTCCATGTCGAGTATGCAAAAGACAAGCCACCAAGAGAAAGACTGTTGGTACCGAGGCATACCAAAATGCTAGAACTGCAAAAGATTTGGACATATACAAAAAGATTGTCGATTCAAGAAAAACTATCAAGCTAACTACACAAAAGAAAATGATAAGTACGAGCATGTGTTCTATGCATGTCTAGCACCATCAGGAGAAGACAACACAAATTGGCGTATCAATAGCAGTGGCAATGACCGGAAGACAGAGACTACAACTCAATTATCAGCAGGAACAAAAAATATGGCATCAACAAGATCAGAATATCTAGCAATATAGCTTCAAGTGTGCATTAAGGAGGAGTGTTAAATTTAATACACACTTGAAGAATATAGGAAAATCTAGAAGAAATTAGAAAGCTCAAGAAAGTTCACTAACTTTGACAAAGTCAAGTTTAAAGAGATGATTATTGTAAACTCAAGAAAAAATCTTAATAAAAATCTTGTAATAAAGTAATAATATTATAAAGTAGTGAGGGCAAGAAGCCAAGTCCACCGACTTGGACAATGGCGGCAGCTTTAGTGTATAAATAGATGTTGTTGTCTCTTGTACAAAGCCAAGAAAGTGAGAGAAGGCCAAATAGCCAGAAAAGAGAGAAAAGAGGCCAACAAGCCCAGCAAACAGTTTCTAGTTGTTGAAGGCCAATAAGCCTACTCCTCTATAAAGCCTTGTACCCATCTATTGTTGAATAAATAAAATCACTCTTTTGTTCTCTAAAACCCAACATTGATGAACTTGAAAGATTGCAAATATTTTATGCATCTTCCAACTAGTGTAAACGGCTTAAAATGTCTCAAAGTATAATCTTTCTGGTTGTACAAGACTTCATGAACTGCCGGAAGAGTTGGGTCATGTAGAGTGTTTGGAGAAGCTCGATGTGAGCGGAACTGCCATATCAGAACCACCCTCCAAACTTTATCTTTTGAAAAACCGTTACATTGAATTTTCTTTTTCTTAAACTTTGGTTTTTAATGAATTAGGAAGGTGATGGTGGCCTCAAGTTGTCCTTTGGCTTTGAAGCTTTGTTTGGATTTTGATTCTCTGAATGTTTGGCTTTCAAGCTTCTGGACTCCATCTCCATCTCCGCACCATGCGTTGGTTTTGGTCTTCATCCACTCTGCTTTGTTATTGGCTTCACTTGCATCACCAATCCCATTAATTGGTGTGTGTGGGGTGACCTCATGATGCAAGTGAAGCCAATAACAAACAAGAGTGCCTTGTAAGTTGTAGCCTTGGTCAATGTTCAAATGTGATTTGATATTTTGGTTTTGGGTGGAAGAATACGTTGATCTTTCTCTTAATATGGTCCATACGTACAGGAACAGAGCAACATCCAGAGTAGAAAAAAGAACAACTAGTTTTCTATTTTATTTTGTTTTTAATTTACTGTGGATCAAAGCAGCACATGCTCTCAATTGTAAGTTGTGCCGAGACAGAGTCAAAGTCTTAGTCAGAGAGCAGTTGGAGGGATCAATTCACGTCGGTGAAGCTTTTCCCTGGAAGGCGTGCCTCCAGCAAGGTTTAGACTTTAGATGACAAGCCCTTACCCTACTGGGCCACTTGCACTTCCTCCTCAACCATTGACGACTTCACCAAATACCAGAGTTTTATTGAGCCACTCGCACTTGAAATGTGATTTCATATTTTGGTTTTGGGTGGAAGAATCATCTGCCTCAAATAATTGAGGTGGTACTTTGATCTTTCTCTTAATATGGTCCATCTTGGAACAGAGCAATATCCTGAGCAGAAAAAATAAATAAATAAAGGAGCAACTAGTTTTCATTTTATTTTATTTTTATTTTCTTTGGATCAAAGCACATGTTGAGTTGTAAGTTGACAGAATCAGAGAACATTTAGAGGAGAAACACTTACTAGCACTATTTTGGTATTTCTGACCAATCACAATATGTCATGCCTGATAACTTTTTCACGTGTCAGTCCATAATTAATTGGAAATAGCAAAATAGTATTATCCATGTTCCATACGAGTTTTTCTACATTTGAGAAGGTGAGATCACGTCAGTCAAAGTCTTCCATTTTTATTTAATCTGATTCTTCTGAGTCATGTTATTGTTGATGATGAGGGCCGACACTCACAGAATTTAACATGAAAATACTAAAAAAATTCCTATCAAGAGGTCTTCTTTGACTTTGAGTTGAGATTGAGTTAATACTTAATTTTTCTATTTCTTAGTCGTTTCTTAGTAGGTGACAGGACTAAATTAATACAAAGAAAATTTATAAAACACAACACGACTAGAAGCTCACATGTGCGGTGGCTGTAAGTTTGCGCGTTTGTGGAATTGCTATGACCTCGGGAACCCAAGCCAGGCCTTGTAAGAAGAAAATGCACAAGTGTTATTTATTTCCCCTCTCCTGCATCACATTCTTATCACATTTTGCTTACGCACCTGCACTCTGTTATCTTCTTCGCCATAAACAGACTACGCACTAACCCTTCACTTCCTCAATGATCACCCAAATAGATATTCCTTCTTCCTCTTCTTCTTCTTCTCCTCCGACCCCTCGATGGACATACGATGTGTTCCTCAGTTTCAGAGGAGAAGACACCCGCACAAATTTCACAGACTTTCTGTATACTTCTCTGATGCAGAAAGGAATATTCACATTTAGAGATGATGAAGAACTTGAGAGGGGAAAGCCCATAGCTCCAAAACTCTTGAAAGCAATCGAAGCATCAAGATATGTAGTTGTCATTCTTTCACGAAACTATGCCAATTCTACATGGTGCTTGGATGAGCTTGTAAAGGCTGTAGAATGCATGAACCTGATGGGACAAACAATACTCCCAGTTTTCTATCATGTGGATCCATCCGAGGTACGAAAACAGAAAGCAGATTTTGGGGAAGCCTTCTCTAAGCATGAAGAAACCTTTAAAGACAATAAACAGAATGTGCAAAGATGGAGAGATGCACTTACTCAAGTTTCCAATCTCTCTGGGTGGCATTTACACGATGGGTAAGACCTGAAGCTTTCTTCTTTTCTTGTTTTTTTATTCATTTATTTATTTTTATAGACAATTATAATCCAGAGAGTAACTATGACCACAGAACTGTCAAAGTCTGGAAAATATAGAGAAAACAAGTGGAAAAAATAGGGAGAATGAGAACTTCCCGTAGGTTTTCTTATTTCATCTTGTTCATGCTTTGTATTACTTACAACACATTTATAATTACAAACTAGGAGACAAGGATCCCTAAGACAAGCATCCCTAAAACAATCCCTAAAACAAGGAGACAAACTTTCCCTAAAAAAGGAGACAAAACTTTCCCTAAAACATGGAGACAAGGACTTCTGTTCCACAAGATGACAAATAGCTAGTCACAAGCTAACAAGAACTGGTAAGTGAAACATTTGACCTATTGCCACTAGTACTACCATAAAAAAAAGCTAACAAAGAAAAAGCCACGGTTCTGGTTTTAAAGTATTTTGGGAACACTGGTTCTGAGTTAACTCATGCAATTCTGTGAAGTATTCCATTATTCATGCAATTCTGTTAAGCATTCCATTATCTTTGGAACCTCATTGCTGCTTCATGACTTACCATGAGATGGTTATTATTTTGCAGTTATGAATCAAAAGTTATTCAAGATATCGTAGGAAAGATTTTCACTGAATTAAATCAAACAATCTCAAGTGTATCCACAGATTTAGTTGGGATGGATTCTCGCGTGAAAGAAATGCTTTCTTGCTTAGACATAGGGCTGCATAAAGTTTGTGTCATAGGGATTTTGGGCATTGGGGGAATAGGTAAGACAACTGTTGCAAGAGTTGTTTACGAGAGGATATGTGCTCAATTCGAAGCTTGCAGCTTTCTTGCCAATGTTAGAGAGGTAACTGAAAAACAAGGCCTAGTTGATTTGCAAAAGCAACTTCTGTCAGATATCTTGCTGGAAAGTAATGTAAATGTACATAATATTTATAAGGGGATCAGTTTAATAAGGCAGAGACTACGTGCTAAAACGGTTCTTATCATTCTTGATGATGTCGATACGCTGGAACAACTGGAAGCATTATGTCATCATAGTTGGTTTGGTTCAGGGAGTAGAATTATCATAACATCAAGAGATGAACATTTGTTGAGCACATTTGGAGTGAATAAAATGTATAGGGTTAAGGAATTAAATGATTCTGAAGCTCTTAAACTCCTTAGTCGGAAAGCCTTTAAAAAAGAGCAAGTTGGAGAAGGTTATCTCAAGCTGTCTAAGAATATCGTTGAATACGCCAGTGGCCTTCCGTTGGCTCTTACAGTTACGGGTTCATTCCTTTTTGGTAAAAGCATTAAAGAATGGTCAAGTGCATTGGATAGACTAAAAGAAAATCCCGAGAAAGGAATTATTGATGTGCTTAAAGTAAGCTTTGACGCATTACAAGTCACAGAGAAAAAGGTATTTCTGGACATTGCATGTTTCTTTAAAGGGGAGGACAGAGATCGTGTAGCAAAAATACTAGAAAGTGGTTGCGGATACAGTCCAGACATTGATATAAAAGTTCTCATAGAAAAATCTCTAATAACTCTGTTTGGAAAAAAATTGTGCATGCATGATTTGATACAAGAATTGGGTTGGGAAATTGTTCGTCAAGAATGTCGTGAAGATCCAGGAAAACGTAGCAGGTTGTGGCTTCCCAAGGATATCATCCCCGTACTTGCAAAAAATAAGGTTAGAAACTAATACAAGTACAGTTGTTAAAACTAATTATTAATGTCCTGCGTATAACTTATTTCTTGTTCCTTTTTATTAGGGAACAGATACAATTGAAGGCATATTCCTCAACTTGCCGAAACAAGAGGAGATTCACTTAAATGCTGATTCCTTCTCAAAGATGTCCAACCTAAGATTTCTCAGAATCTGTAATGTGGCCTCTCCTGGATCCATTGAATATCTTTCTAATGAGTTACAACTTTTGGAATGGCATGCATGTCCTTTAAATTATTTGCCGTCAAACTTTCAATCAGATAAGCTTGTTGAACTCAAAATGCATTTGAGCTGTGTCAAACAACTGTGGAATGGAAATGAAGTAAGATTATATTCTTATGCATGATTATATTATTTATGTATCAACCAAATGTTTGTTCTAATTCATATGATTATTTTTCAAATATTATCAGAGCTGGAGCATGCTAAAGTGCATCGATCTGAGTGATTCCCAATACTTGATCAAAACCCCAAACTTCACTAAGGCTCCAAATATTGAGATGCTGGTGCTTCAAGGCTGTTCAAGATTGGTTGATGTTCACCCGTCCATGGGAATTCTCAAACAGCTTATCTTGCTGAATATGAGAAACTGCAAATCTGTAAAGACTCTTCCTCCTTTCATTAGTTTGGAATCTCTTCGAAGTTTAACTCTCTCTGCTTGTTCAAGACTCAAGAGGTTTCCTGAAATTCAAGGAGATATGAAAACCTTGTTAGAGCTCTATTTAGATGGGACTGCTATAGAGGAATTACCTTCATCGATTGAACGTTTGACAGGTCTTGCTTTGTTGAATTTAGGAAACTGCAAAAACCTTTTCCATATCCCAAGTACCATCCAATGTTTGACATCTCTGAAAAGTCTCATTCTAACTGGTTGCTCAGAACTTCATGACATACCTGAGAATCTGAATTGTGTGGAATATCTTGAGGAGCTTGATATAAGTGGAACTGCTATAAGAAAATCATGGTTTGTTGTAGGTATGAAGAATCTAAAGTATCTATCATTCCAAGGATGTAAAGATCAACCTTCAAAATCATGGCATTCCCTTATCTTTAATGGTTGTTGGTGTAGAGAGGAAGTTCCCACGCGTTTGTTGTTGCCTAATTCATTCTCAAGTTTAATTTCTTTAGCAGAGCTGGACTTAAGTGATTGCAGTCTGATGGATGGAGAGATTCCCAGGGATATTGGAAGCTTATTCTCCTTAAAAAAATTAAATTTAAGTGGTAGTAATTTTGTTTGCTTACCAGAAAGCATCTCTCAACTCTCGAAGCTTGAAGATCTCAAGTTGATCAGTTGTCGTAAGCTAAAATCTCTGCCTAAGAAGCTTCCATTAAGTATTCGACACGTGAATGCAGATGATTGTACATCACTGATAGATTTCCCAAATAAATTAAAAGTATGGACTTCAGCTGTTTCGGGAGTGACTACCATCAGTTCCTTCATTTCATCCAAGAATCAAGAGTGTTCTACTTCAGAGAGAGAGTGGAAATATGGCAAGATTTGGACTCCAACAACTGTCCCAGGATGTAGTACCATTAGTTTCGTCAAATCAGATGAGCATCAAGAATGGAAACAAGTTGATGGATTTGTACTGCCAACTCAATTGTTTAAAAAAGACCTAGAGGTCTCTCTCTCTCTCTCTCTCTCTCTCTCTCTCAAGTTGATGGATTTGTACTGCCAACTCAATTGTTTGAAACAGACCTTCAGTATATGATCTGTCTCTTCCATATTTAATTAATTAACCCTTTGTGTTTTACGTGACAGCTATTGGATTTAAGGTCATGTACCTTACAGTCTGGCACTCCTCAAAGTGAAATTCCAGAGTTTTTCAGCCATATAGTGAATGGGGGAAACATAGAAATCCCGATATATGCGAATATGAAGAATGATAGGAAGTGGATGGGGGTTGCCCTGTGTGCTCTTTTTTCAGCCAAGGGAAATCCTGTAGTCTCCCCCACTGAATCGGATTCAGAAACTTCGAATTACTTCTATCAGTTCCAAATTGGAACTAATATATTTGTACTGGTACCAGATCCCGATAGTGATTGCATAGCACATTTACAAACGCACTCTCATTTTCTTTGTGTGTTCTATGCATCTTGGCTGCAGTTTCCAGAGTTGTTAAATAAATCCAGTCAAATGTGGGCTTCATTCAATACCTCTAATCCTTGCATGGAGGTCCAGCAATGTGGGATTCATTTAGTTTACGAGCAAGATGTTGCTGTGTTTATGCAAACATTCATGCAGTGTGCTTTTGGTACTGAACGCCAACCTGTACATCAAACCCCATTAGTTACCGGAAAAGAAGATCAAGATATCCCTTCTGATGATAACTCCACTCCAAATGAAGTTGACAAAGCTACATCTGAATATGGATGGTTTAATCTAGTCGATAAAATTTTGAGATGGTACGTAGATTTCAAATCTGTGAATTCATCATTGATATGACATTGTATTCTCTCTTTTTAAGTCCTTTGATTTTTGTTTTTGTTTTTGGTATGTATATGTCTGATTGCAGGGAGAAATTAATTCCAACTTCCCCAGAAGCCTCCATAGTTCTGCTGAGATACCTTCAGGTATATATATATATATATATCTCTCTCTCTCTTTCTCTCTCTCTAATCAACACACATGCATTAGTTCTGATAGAAAATAACTATTCCATGTCAGCCTCTTTTAATTAAAAGGATAGCAGCTCTTATAAGTCAGTTGGTTAGTTGTTAAACAACAGAATTTGTTACTTAGCCAGGCCTTGTCCAAGACACTAGTATATACATAAACTGATGAAATATCTGAATTACTTAAATGTGAAATGAAATCAATGAAATACATATCACAATTCTCTCAAATTCTCCTTCTTCAGCTAAATAATTACTAACAATTTATGCGCACATTTCACAGGGATTAAACGAAATGCAGCAACCCTATCGCTTTTTCATAAGTGGAAGCCCAGCGTGGTTCAACCCTAAAAAGGGTTCCTCCGTGTCAATCGAGCTGCCACCAAATCTTCCCCAGAGTAACAAGTGGATGGGATTTGCTCTATGTGCCTCTGTTGCAGTGGACCACCGGCATATTGCAAAAGAGAGTTTTGGTTTTTCTTGTCGACTTCAAACGGACAAATTTAATACTGAGATCTTCATAAGCTCAACCAGTATACATGATAAAGATCAACTTCACATTATTTACATTCCGCGGGCACATTTTAATGAGTGGTTCGTGGCTATATCCAGTAGCATCATCAGCACTTCCTTTACAACGGATAGCCCTGGTGGTGTCCATGTTCAAATTTGTGGGCTTCGTATCTTGTACCAGCAAGATTTACAAGGGTTTGTCCAGGCAATCACCCAATGCATATTGCGCAGCTCTTCAGATTTTGCAACTAATTGTAATGAACAACGAGTGGTACAAGATTGGATAAGTTTGATGACATTGCACAGTCGTAAAGTTGAGACAAGTACAAGGGAAAGGGATATTTCCCGAGAATCAAGTCAACTAACTGCAGAAGAGGGCTGTGAAGAACATTTCAGTACCACACAGGAATGGGAGCAGTTTCAGTTGATGTCTCGACAATATAGAAATATGGTCTCTCTCTCTCTCTCTCTCTCTCTCTCTCTCTCTCTCTTTTAGCCCTCACATGACATGATCACATTTTTATTTACAGGACTGGTCTGTGGCTCAATTTTCATGTCACTACTCTGGAATAAAAATTCCTAATTGGTTCACGTTGACACAAAATTTGCATGAAGGCTTAGGCAACTCTGCAGAAATCCAAGTGCCCCAAAATTTGTACGAGGATGGCAATTGGAAAGGGATTGCTATTTGCGCACATATGTCCATCCGTGAACATCCCACCATCATTCTTGACACTCCCGACTCAGAGTTTACTCGTGAGCTTTTTTGTCATCTGGACACCAACTTTTCTGGGGTCAAATTCCGACTTGTAGAGCGTACAAATGACAAAGCCATGTGGTTGAATGATGCCTGCAATTTCAGTTGGTTCATCTACATGCCACGCGCTCAGTTTTCTGAATCCTTGAATCAATGCAATCTAGTCAGGGTAACTTTTGGGTCCAATAGCTCAGGCTTAGGCGTGCATAATTCTGCCCTTCGTCTAGTATTTAACAAGGATTTGGAGCAGCTTATACCAACATTGGCCAGCTGCCGCTTATTTTCAGACCGCCAATGTCTTTAGCGGGCTTTATGCCTGTTTATATTTTCAACTCAATTTCTCATCATTTTTCATATAAATTTATTCTAGTTCTTTTTTTGGATGAAATATGTTGTGCTTAACTTTTCTCTTATGTTCAATGCAACTGCGATATTTCAATTTATTTGGGTTTATCTGTGTATAAACTCAGTAAACATGTTCAGACCAACATTAAAAAAAAACTCAGTCAACATGAACCAATTGAAAAATGCGCTCTATAAATTGATAAGAGTCTTTTTTTCTTTTTCTTTAAAAAAAAATATTTATTTACTAGCCTCTCTGCACGAGCTTTATAATTTGGAAGGGCATGCAGAGAGGCTTTTTTTAATCACATGCGCTATAAATTTTTTATTTTATTTTGATAGATGCCTGTCTCAAAAATTTATTACTTTAATGGTGCACATGTGATTAATGTCATGTATTTTTCTAGAAGTGCCTTTTAAAAGTTTGGGGAAAATACATAGAACGCACATCTAGAAAAATACATGCCATTAATCACATGTGCGCCATTAAAACAAGAAATTTTTGAGACAGACATATATCAAAATACAACTCTCTTACATAGTAAATGAATTTATGCAAGATTGCCCCAGATATTTAAATCTGTGCAAAAATCAACTCTCTTACATAGTTTTTCAGCAAACTGTTAAAAAACCAAAGACAAAAAATTAAGCAAAAGAATAACCTGAAAACAAAAAATTTTAAGCAGAGAAGAGTGGCTTCGAGGCATTTGAAAACCACAAAGTAAAAGCCGAAGAAAAAAAACAATATTTCATAAATAAGTCGAACAAACACACAACCACAATGATACACACAAACAACACCTACCAATCTACCAAACCGATTGGTAAGCAGCAAGTCATGAAACTGACCTCATTTAGGTAGGTGTATGGTATATCCATTGCGCTTCTTCAACCATGGATGGCCTCTCCCCTTGTAGCAATTGTAGCCTATTGGTGGTCTAGCTCAGTACATAAGAACTTTCTTTCTATATACAGAAAAAACAAACAACAATATCCAATTAGAGCAATTGGCCCAATTTTAAGGAAAAATAAAATCAAACATAAAATTAAACAAAAGGAGGGAGGGAGAAAAAAAAAAAAAAAAAAAAAAAAAAAAAAAAAAAATTGTAAACTGAGTTCCTTGACTCGTTCAAAGAGTGGCATGACAGGTTTGGTAACAACATAGATGGTATGCTTGGTGGTAGAAGCAGCCAAGTACTGTGAAGTAAGGATATAATATTTGGGTATCTAACCTGAAACAAAATCATATTCCAACTAATATATCCTGATTGGAAACTTCAAAATACAAAATAGTTTCCAACTAACCTGAAAAATATGAAATATAGTTTCCTCTACTTCTTTTGCTTCAGGTATGGAACGGAACCCTTATACGTCAGAGAGGTGAGAGACGATTCCATCTGTTTAGATAAAATTCCAAAGACTTTAATTTCATAAGTCAAGCAAAACATTCAAATTAGAGACAGAGATAACAGGGCCAAAATACCCACACCTCCTTCTGCATCTCTACCACTCTATCACCCAAAACACAAAAAATGCATTCTACCAAACCAAAAATAAAACCCATTTAAACAAAACATTCTCAAAGTTACAGGCTACGCAAATCATCCCAAATCATAACTCCATCTGTAGTGCTATAAACTTTTACATTGGCATAAGACCCTTTGTATCTGCTTTCTCCTGAACCAAATTGTATCTGCTTTAACAATTAAAAAATGAATATCAGAGCCAGAGACAACTAAAATATCAACAACCACATCAAAGAAACCCCGAAATATTTATTTATGGAATTGAGTTCTTCTCCATTTCCAAGCACACATGCACTGCAAATTTCAAACCAAAGAAAAATCTCAAAACTACGCAACAGTATAATATTGAAAATAGAAGTAAAAATCAAAACCAAATCGAGAGTGAATAGATATAAAAATCCTAAACATACTGAAGAATTTAATTTTCAACCAACATGATGCCAAGTAGCTTCAGAAAAATCGAAGACAATGCAAAGCTTCACTGGACTTCCTTGCACAAAATTCCTAAATAAACAAATGAAACTGCCCAAATCATCATTGAAATTGTAGAAACTGATTTTCCCTTGCACATTCATATGATCATTATACTATATATATATATATATATATATATATGTATATATAGAAGTCTGTAGAGAACAATGTACAGTTACAGTAAGCCATCATCATAAACATAAATATGGAGTTAGCCTAATAACCATTTCCTATCATTAACTGAAATACTATTGTAACTCCCTAATACTCCCCCATAAATCGAGCGCGCACAGCATAGTAAGATTTGAATAAAGAAACTGCATTGTGATGGAGATGGTGATAACAGTCGGCTGTAGTAGCTAGTCCAGTAAGCGGAACCAAAAAAGAAGAACTCTGATCTCTAGAGTTGCAACAGCAGCATGAAAGAAACAAAGTAAACATAACGCCCATTGAAAGGCAGGAAGTGAAGGAGTGCATGGGCTCATGGAAGGAAGGAATAAAATGACGGGCTGACATACAAGTCAAATGGACCTAGGAAACAACTCTAGGCACTTGAGAAACATAACTCTACCTAGGAATCACCCTCTGATGTCCAAAAACAAACAAGAACTGTTGCAGAAGCCTTCATTAAACATGAAGAGAGGTTCGTGTATGATGCAAATTTAGAAGGTACGAAAGTGGAGAGCTGCCTTGAAAAATGTTGGAATTTACAGGAGGTGAAGGGTTTAGGACAATATAGGACAATAGTTGAACAAAATGATTTTATTAGATTGGAGGAGAATAGTACATACTACATAGCTTGGTGTAGGCTAATTGGCCTCCTTAGTATTTTGGCTTATATTGGCCACCTCACTTGGTTTAAATTAGTTTGAGCTATTTGGCCCTTACACTTTGATAAACTTTTGACTCCTCAACATAGTTTAATTTGGGTAGCTCTTGGCTCCCTAATAGTTTGGGAGTTCTTTTTGTTGGACTCCCCATATGACTTGGGTTGGGTAGCTTTTTTGTTCCACCTTGTATGACCGCATGTATGTCTATTTATAGACATGATCCACCGCCATACCTTGGTCCACCGACTTAGGAAGACTAACCCCAGTCACATATGTTTGGCTTTCTCTAGATAGTTCTCCAACGTTGCATGTAGCTGCCGACTTCCAATCAAGCTTATGGCACTTTCTTCAAGCTTCTAGATTTTTCTATCTTTTTTAGCACAAATGTGCATTAATTTCAACAAAAAAAGTAGCAAATCTCTCTGGGTGGAATTCAAAGGACTGGTACGTTACTCTTTCTTTTTTCTATTCAAAGGACTGGTATCTCTTTTGATATATATATATAAAGGGCGGATCAGTGACACTATATTTTTTACACAAGTTTTGACATAATTTTTGGGCCATTAGATTACTCCATTTTTAATGTTTGAGATTAAATCTAACATGGCAAATAGTTTAAATGTTTTAAATAAACAATCATTAATTTTATTTTCTCTCTCATAAAAATAAAATAAAATTATTTTCTCTCCTCCTTTTTTCTTGGAAACGAAATCTCTCTTTTTGGTAATATCCATTTTTTCTTGGTAATCTAATCTCTCTCTCTCTCTCTCTCTCCTCCTCCCTTTTTTCTTGGAAACGTAATCTCTCTTCAAGGTAATATCTATTTTTTCTTGGTAATCTAATCTCTCTCTCTAAAGATTATGCGTGAGACTTTTTTTTTGGAAATAAATCGATCAATTGCATTGAAGATTAATTGAGGCAACAGTCTTGGGTGAGGAGATCCTGAACAAGCTCAGGGGCCTCACCAAACCAAAAACAATCTTGGAGCAAATGAAAAGCAAACAAGGAAAAGCCTGTTAGCAACTCGATTACAAAGCCTAGGCACATGGGCCACGGAGGATGACTGGAATTGAGAGAGGAGCACACAACAGTCATCAATCAAAACCCCCTACCATAACCAAAATCGATCAAATGCGTGAGACTTAATATGCTATGTTCTGGTAGGAAACTCAAGATTTATTGCTTGCTCCATAGATTGTGTAACTCTACCTTGTCGACTCTGCTTCCTCTGCTTATACAACCTTTAAAGCTGGCCTTGCCTCAACCCGATTCACACTGCCAGATTATGTTTAATCCATTTTCTATCTGCCTATATTGATCTCTCAAGTTCTCAGCTCTTTGATTGAATTGGCAAATGAAAATGATATGAAACCAGTCAGATCTGCCTATAGCTTTTATCTGATGATAGTCAGGTCTTCCACCTCTTAGACATTAAAAAAAAAGTGAAAGGAAGAAATTTAGGAAAATGAAAATGATATGAAACCACAATGCAAATATTAATTAAGAAGCTGGTTTGGGGACGAGAGAGAGAGAAAGAAGAAACAAAGGCAAAGAAGGATGCGTCAATTCTTTGTAGAAGAAAGAGAGAGAATGAATTCTTAATTAATATGGTATCATGATTTTAATCCCAATGTATAAATATTAATTAAAGAGAAAAATATTATTTTGCCATGTCATATTTAATCTCAACCATTAAAAGTGGAGTAATCTAATGGCCCAAAAATTGTGTCAAAAATATGGTGCCACGGATCCGCCCCCATATACATAGAGAATTTATCAAAAATAGCCAAAATTTACCCCCCACTTTCAAAAATGTCAGTTTTGATAAAATCTTTCAAATATAGCCAAAAACGCACTTAAATAGACACAAATGCCCTTAAAAATTAAAACCCACATAAACTTAAAAACAAAGATAATGTACAAACGGGATCCCGTGCTGCTGAGGTCCACAATCTCTCCGAGAGGGTCCACACCCACTGTCTGTGTGAGAGCAGCCACAATTTCTGCAGGCCATGCACTTTTCATTGCATCGTATATGACTTTCATAGTTATCTCATACTCATTTCGGTCCACATTTACAATGTCATATACCTTATTCCGAAGCTCCTATATCGCAATTTTATCTGAAACAAGTAGTGCTTTAGTTTTGCAATTTTTGTACGTTGAGTTAACCCACTTTCCATCGTAGTTAATCAAAATTGTCAAACTAGACATTATCCTGAAAGGTAAACCAACATAATAAATAATACAATACACATTGAGAAAATATCATTCAAACCATATATATATAACGTCAGAATAGCAAATATATATATATATGATTTGTATATTTTGTTGTCAGAATAGCATATCAGTAATCATGTGCAATTTGGGTCTACCAAAGGAGAAACACTCAACACCCATGAAACACAAGAAACAAATTTACAGAGAGGAAATTTCCAATTATTTCTGCTAGGGGATGGATTTGCCTAGATCATTGTAAAATACTTTCTACTCTTTGGCCAATCCCAATGGGCAACACGTCTGTATAGCCTCAACACTCCCTAATTCAACTTTCAATGATCCAGGCAGACCCAAATTGGAAATATATTCATCCAAATCGAAAAAGAAATACAATTAATAAGTTCTTTATCTTCAAATCCAATCCAACAAACAAAATTAATTGTATTTCAAGTGGCCAACAGAAAATCATGGAATTAAAACAAAGATGGAAGGAGAGAGAGAAAGAAAAGCAAACCTGGGATTACAGATTGGTAAGTTGAATTAGGGAGTGTAGGAATTGCTTCAGACCAAGGCTACAGACATGCGTGCTCAGCAATAGTTCGACCAAAGGCTACAGACGTGCGTGCGAATCCAAATTTTGTATAGTAGGGTTTTGCTTTTTAGGTTTATGTGGGTTTTAATTTTTAAGGGTATTTGTGTCTATTTAGGTGATTTTTTGGCTATATTTGAAAGATTTTATAAAAACTGACATTTTTGAAAGTGGGGGGGTAAATTTTGGCTATTTTTGATAAAAACTCATATATATATATATATATATATATGTATATGTATGAGGAACAGCAATAGAATAAAAATATTTAAACGGCTTTTTTGGAATCATCAATATGAATATTAGAAAGTGTGGCTGGAAATCATGTGAGTGGTTTGGTTTTGGGAGTAGAGTTCTCATTACAACCAGAAATGAGCATTTGTTGATCAAACATGGAGTGGAGAGAATATTTCAGGTAAAGGGACTAAAAAGTGAAGATGCTCTTCAACTGTTTACTTGGAAAGCTTTTAAAAAGGATTACCCTGAAAAGTATTATCTTATTTTGTCTAATCGCATTGTGAGTTATGTCAAAGGTCTTCCATTAGCTCTTAAGGTTTTGGGATCGTTCTTGCATGGAAGAGGTTTAAGTGAATGGAACAGTACGTTGGGAAAACTTGGAGTGTGCAACTTGGAAATTTTTGAGGCATTAAAAATTAGTTATGATGGTCTAGATGATAATGAGAAGAAAATGTTCCTGGACATTGCGCGTTTCTTTAACGGGAAGGACAAAGATCGAGTAATAGAAGCTTGTGATGTTTCTGCAGTTGTTATAGTAGAGGTCCTCATCGAGAGATCTCTCGTAAAGATTTTGGGTGGAAGGCTTTGGATGCATGATTGGCTCCAAGAAATGGGTCGGCAAATTGTACTCCGAGAATTTCCTGATGAGCCTGGCTGGTGCAGCAGGTTGTGGTTTCGTGAAGATGCCAATCATGCATGTCTTGAGCAAAAATACTGCAAGAGATTAATTAGTACATGCACAAGAATAATTTGAGTTGTTATATGATAAAACAAGGTACTCAACTAACCCTTTTTTAACGTTAATTATGAGCTTCACTATTCCATATTAATAGGGAACAGACGCAATAGAAGGCATATTTCTGCACCCAGCTCTGATCCAGGGGTACAGGTGCATGCAAATTTGCTAAATCCTTTTCAAAGATGTTGAAACCAAGATACCTCAAGATTAGTAATGTGAGCCTTTACAATGGACTTGAAGATCTTCCCAATAGCTTACGTATTCTTAAATGGACGGGGTATCCTTTAACATATTTCCCATCACATTTCAACCCAGAGAAGCTACTAGAACTCAAAATGTGTCATAGTTGCATAAAACATTTTCAGATGGGAACAAAAGTATATATCCTTTTACTCATTGGATCTTTTATTACCTACAAAAACTGTTCAAACAGGGAAGCTAATTTTGCTATGCTTTTGCAATTTGACAGCCTTTACACAATTTGAAAACCATCAAACTCAGTCACTCTCTTAATCTTGCCAGCACGCCCAACTTTAAAGGTGTTCCAAATCTTGAGGTTCTGATTCTTGAAGGTTGTACACGATTGTTTGAGGTTGATCCATCAATTCAAGCGCTGGAAAGACTTACTCTGCTGAACTTGAAAGATTGCAAAAACCTTGCCCATCTTTCAAGCAGTGTAGGTTGCTTAAAATTTCTCAAAGTTCTTAAACTTTTTGGTTGTTCAAGGCTTAATATATTGCCAGAAGAGTTGGGTTACATTGAGTGTTTGGAGGAGCTTGATGTGAGTAGAACTTCCATAAGAGAACTACCTTCCTCTATTGGAAGGCTTAAAGGTCTTACTTTGATGAACTTGAAAGATTGCAAATATTTTATGCATCTTCCAACTAGTGTAAACGGCTTAAAATGTCTCAAAGTTCTTAATCTTTCTGGTTGTACAAGACTTCATGAACTGCCGGAAGAGTTGGGTCATGTAGGGTGTTTGGAGAAACTCGATGTGAGTGGAACTGCCATATCAGAACCACCCTCCAACCCTTTATCTTTTGAAAAATCTTAAAATATTATCAGTTCAAGGATGTAAAGGATCCATCACCTTCTTCTATTGATCCCAAATCCCTCATTTCTTTTTGCCTTTGGAGTTTCAATTATTAAGAGGACCTGCTCATAAAAGTGACTGCAATCTCTCGGGAAGGACCAATTCCAATGTTCTCAGCTGCTTGTCCTTATTGAGAAGATTAAATCTAATAAGAAACTACTTTGCTAGTCTGTTTGTAGATGTTCCTAATGAATCTCACTGGATACATTGTTCAATCTGAAGTAGCCCTTTAACTTTTAAGCTTTGTTTGGATTTTGATTCTCTGAATGTTTGGCTTTCAAGATTCTGGACTCCATCTCCATCTCCACACCATGTGTTGGTTTTGGTCTTCATCCACTCTGCTTTGTTATCGGCTTCACTTGCATCATCAATCCCCTTAATTTGTGTGTGAGGAGTGACCTCATGAATCATGATCCAAGTGAAGCAGTAACAAACAAGAGTGCCTTGTAGCCTTGGGCAATGTTGAAATGTGATTTGATATTTTGGTTTTGGGTGGGAAGAATACTTTGATCTTTCTCTTACATACTGGATCAGAGCAACATCCAGAGCAGAAAAAAGAACTACTAGTTTTTATTTTATGTTGTTTTTAATTTCCTGTGGATCAAAAGCACATGTCCAGTTGTAAATTGTGCCGAGACGAGTCAAAGTCTTAGTCAGAGAGCATTTGGAGGGATCAATTCACGTCGGTCAAACTTTTTCCCCAAGGTTTAGACTTTAGATGACAAGCCCTCACCCTACTGGACCACTTGCACTTCCTCCTCAACCATTGACTTCTTCACCAAATACCAGAATTCTATTTAGCCACTCGCACATGAAATGTGATTTCTATTTAGCCACTTGCACTTCCTCCTCAACCATTGACTTCTTCACCAAATACCAGAATTCCATTGACTTCTTCACCAAATACCAGAATTCTATTTAGTCCTCAACCATTGACTTCTTCACCAAATACCAGAATTCTATTTAGCCACTCGCATATGAAATGTGATTTCTATTTAGCCACTTGCACTTCCTCCTCAACCATTGACTTCTTCACCAAATACCAGAATTCTATTTAGCCACTCGCTCTTGAAATGTGATTTCTATTTAGCCACTTGCACTTCCTCCTCAACCATTGACTTCTTCACCAAGATACCTCAAATAATTGAGGTGGTACTTTGATCTCCTGCATCACATTCTTATCACATTTTGCTTACACACCTTAACTCTGTTATCTGCTTCGCCATAAACAGACTACGCACTAACCCTTCACTTCCTCAATGATCACCCAAATAGATATTCCTTCTTCCTCTTCTTCTTCTTCTCCTCCGACCCCTCGATGGACATACGATGTGTTCCTCAGTTTCAGAGGAGAAGACACCCGTACAAATTTCACAGACTTTCTGTATACTTCTCTGATACAGAAAGGAATATTCACATTTAGAGATGATGAAGAACTTGAGAGGGGAAAGCCCATAGCTCCAAAACTCTCGAAAGCAATCGAAGCATCAAGATATGTAATTGTCATTCTTTCACGAAACTATGTCAATTCTACATGGTGCTTGGATGAGCTTCTAAAGGCTGTTGAATGCATGAACCTGATGGGACAAACAATACTCCCAGTTTTCTATCATGTGGATCCATCCGAGGTACGAAAACAGAAAGCAGATTTTGGGGATGCCTTCTCTAAGCATGAAGAAGCCTTTAAAGACAATGAACAGAATGTGCAAAGATGGAGAGATGCACTTAATCAAGTTTCCAATCTCTCTGGATGGCATTTACACGATGGGTAAGACCTGAAGCTTTCTTCTTTTCTTGTTTTTTTGTTCTTTTTATTTTATTTTTTTATTATAGACAATTATAATCCAGAAAGTAACTATGACCATAGAACTGGTAAGAGCAACTCCACCCATTTGACTCTTGCCATGGCAAGGGGGGGAGCTAGGGCAACCACTATTCACGCGAATAGTAGTTGCCCTTGCAAATAGTATTGTGTGTTTCCACCTGTTGCCATGACAAAGGGCAATTACTATTCATTTTTTTTTTTTTTTTTTCACAAATTTATTTACCTAAACAATTTAATTTGGATAATATTTTCGGATAAGATTTTTGGGTGTCGTATGTGTTAATATTTATTATAAAATTCATATCTAAAAATTGGATATTTTTTATGATATAGAAAAAAAAAAAAAAAAAAAAAAAAAAAAAAAAAATAATTTTTTGGTTTTTTTTTTTAAATTCGATTTTTTTTTCATTTTTTTATTGCACAAAAATTGGCTGCCGTTGGATTGGAGAAAAAAATCTGATCAGAGAGCCCATAGCACGACACGTGGACTTTAGCGGCACTGGTGCGGTGGGCACTGTAGCGCACTGTAGCATGTGGGCACTGTAGCGATGATGTCAGCAACAGCCCTCGGGCTGAACTGGCCTGAGGGCCAGCCCGATTTCGTGGGACCCACTCCCAGCCCGGGCTGTGGGCTGTCTGCTTGAACACCTTTTTCCCCTCCCCCCCCCCCCCCCCCCCCCCCCCCCCCCCTCCCTGGGCTCAGCCCTCCGCTGGAACTGCTCTAAGTGAAACATTTGACCTATTGCCACTAGTACTACCATAAAAAAACTAACAAAGAAAAAGGCACGGTTCTGGTTTTAAAGTATTTTGGGAACACTGGTTCCGCTGAGTTAACTCATACAATTCTGTGAAGCATTCCATTATCTTTGGAACCTCATTGCTGCTGCATGACTTACCATGAGATGGTTATTATTTTGCAGTTATGAATCAAAAGTTATTCAAGATATCGTAGGAAAGATTTTCACTGAATTAAATCAAACAATCTCAAGTGTATCCACAGATTTAGTTGGGATGGATTCTCGCGTGAAAGAAATGCTTTCTTGCTTAGACATGGGGCTGCATAAAGTTTGTGTCATAGGGATTTTGGGCATTGGGGGAATAGGTAAGACAACTGTTGCAAGAGTTGTTTACGAGAGGATATGTGCTCAATTCGAAGCTTGCAGCTTTCTTGCCAATGTTAGAGAGGTAACTGAAAAACAAGGCCTAGTCGATCTGCAAAAGCAACTTCTGTCAGATATCTTGCTGGAAAGTAATGTAAATGTACATAATATTTATCAGGGGATCAGTTTAATAAGGCAGAGACTACATACTAAAACGGTTCTTATCATTCTTGATGATGTGGATACAGTGGAACAACTGGAAGCATTATGTCATCATAGTTGGTTTGGTTCAGGGAGTAGAATTATCATAACTTCAAGAGATGAACATTTGTTGAGCACATTTGGAGTGAATAAAATGTATAAGGTTAAGGAATTAAATGGTTCTGAAGCTGTTAAACTCTTTAGTTGGAAAGCCTTTAAGAAAGACCAAGTTGGAGAAGGTTTTCTCAAGCTGTCTAAGAATGTGGTTGAATATGCCAGTGGTCTTCCATTGGCCCTTACAGTGTTGGGTTCATTCCTTTTTGGTAAAAGCGTAAAACAATGGTCAAGTGCATTGGATAGACTAAAAGAAAATCCCGATAAAGGAATTATTGATGTGCTTAAAGTAAGCTTTGACACATTACAAGTCACCGAAAAAAAGTATTTCTGGACATTGCATGTTTCTTTAAAGGGGAGGACAAAGATCGTGTAGCAAAAATACTAGAAAGTGGTTGCGGATACTGTCCAGACATTGATATAAAAGTTCTGATAGATAAATCTCTAGTAACTCTAGTTGGAAGAAAATTGTGCATGCATGATTTGATACAAGAATTGGGTTGGGAAATTGTACGTCGAGAATGTCGTGAAGATCCAGGAAAACGTAGCAGGTTGTGGCTTCCCAAGGATATCAGCCCCGTACTTGTACAAAATAAGGTTAGAAATTAATATAAGTACAGTTGTTAAAACTAATTATTAATCTCAGTTTATGCTGCTGTATCATGCTTATACCTTATTTCTTGTTCCTTTTTATTAAGGGAACGGATACAATTGAAGGTATATTCCTCAACTCGTTGAAACAGGAGGATGTTGACTTGAATGCTAATTCCTTCTCAAAGATGTCCAACCTAAGATTGCTCAGAATTTGTAATGTGGCCTCTCCTAGATCCATTGAATATCTTTCTAGTGAGTTACAACTTTTGGAATGGCATGCATGTCCTTTAAATTCTTTGCCGTCAAACTTTCAATCAGATAAGCTTGTTGAACTCAAAATGCATTTGAGCCGTGTCAAACAACTGTGGAATGGAAATGAAGTAAGATTATATTCTTGTGCATGTTTATATTATTTAGGTATCAACCAAATGTTTTTTCTAATTCATATGATTATTTTTCAAATATTATCAGAGCTGGAGCATGCTAAAGTGCATCGATCTGAGTGATTCCCAATACTTGATCAAAACCCCAAACTTCACTAAGGCTCCAAATATTGAGATGCTGGTGCTTCAAGGATGTTCAAGATTGGTTGATGTTCACCCGTCCATGGGAATTCTCAAACAGCTTATCTTGCTGAATATGAGAAACTGCAAATCTGTAAAGATTCTTCCGTCTTTCATTAGTATGGAATCTCTTGAGAGTTTAAATCTGTCCGCCTGTTCAAGACTCAAGAAGTTTCCTGAGATAGAAGGCAATATGGAAAGCCTGTTGGAGCTTCATCTAGATGGGACTGCCATAGAAGAATTACCTCCATCAATTGAACATTTGACCAGTCTTAAATTGTTGAATCTAGGATACTGCAAAAACCTTTGTCATCTTCCGAGTACCATTCAACATTTGACATCTCTGAAAACTCTCATTCTAACTGGTTGCTCAGAACTTAATGACATACATGAGAATCTGAATTGTGTGGAATGTCTGGAGGAGCTTGATATAAGTGGAACTGCTATAAGAGAATCGTCGTTCATTGTAGGTTTGAAGAATCTAAAGTCTCTATCTTTTCAAGGTTGTAAAAATCGGCCTTCAAGATCATGGCATTCAGTCTTTAATTATTGGTGGCGGGGTAGAAATGGTCATGTTCCTGGTAGTTTATTGTTGCCTACTTCACTTTCAGGTTTAAGTTCTTTGACAAACCTAAACTTAAGTGATTGTAATCTGATGGATGGAGAAATTCCCAATGATCTTGGTTCCTTGTTCTCCTTAAAAACATTAGATTTAAGGCAGAATAATTTTGTTGGCTTACCTGAAACCATCTCCCAACTCTCCAAGCTTGAATTTATCAATGTGAGCAAGTGTAGCAGGCTTCAATTGCTGCCTAAGAAGCTTCCATTAAGTCTTCAACGTGTGAATATGGAAGATTGTGCTTCACTGATAGACTTCCCAAATCAAATCAAAATATTTGCTTCACCTCTCTTGGGAAAGACTACTAGTGATTCCCGCATTTCATCCAAGCTTCAAGATTTCAATTATGAGAAACAAGAATGGAGACCAGTTGACGATTTGCAAATGCAACTGCTTCAAAGACAGCTTGAAGTCTCTCTCTCTCTCTCTCTCTCTCTCTCTCATTCACACACACATGGAAACACATATAACTTATAAGCAAACACAGGGCATCCTGTTTTTCATGACTACTTATAATCCTTTTCTGTTTTGTGGTACAGGTATTGAACTATAGATTAACTCCCTTACAAGCAGTTAGTTATCAAACTGAAATTCCAGAGTGGTTCAGCCATATGGTTACAGAGTGTTCTATTGCAATCCAGCCATCTCCAGATTTGAGTGATTATAGAAAGTTGATGGGGGTTGCCCTATGTGCTGTTTTCTCAGTCAAGGGACATCCTGCTGTCTCTTGCATTGGATCGGATTTAGGAACTTCTTACTTCTATCAATGCAAATTGCTAATTCATAAATTTTTTGAATCTAAACCATTTATCCTTCATGGCAAGCTACATCACAAATTTGGAACTGATGATTTTCTTTGGGTTTTCTATTTACCTCGTCGGTTCTTTCCAAATGTGTTAAGTGATTCAAGTGTAATGGGTGCTCTATTTGAAACCAACAACCCGTGCATGGAAGTCAAGAAATGCGGGGTTCGTCTAGTGTATGAGCAAGATGTTGCAGGGTTTATCCAAACATTACTGCAGTGTGTTACTACTGGACCCCAGCCACATCAAATTGTCCCTTATGATGACTACAAGATAATTGAAGAATGTGATGAAGATGGCTTTAAAACTGGATGGTTTAGTATAGTGGATAACGTTTGGAGATGGTAAAATTTATTTGTCTGAGAAGTATGTATGTTGCATCGTAATAAATTTTCTCCATAGTTGATTTGACCTTGCATATTACATTTGAATATGATTGCAGGGAGAAATTAATTCCAGCTTATGAAGGTGGTGTTCGATTACCATTTTGGTGTAACGTCTGGATAAGGTGTAGGACTGGACTTGCCTTTCTGGCGTGAAGTTTCGAAGCAGGAACATCAGAGGAAACAGAGGATCTGGCTAGTCAGACGAGGTTGGGTGGCCGGTAGTGTTACTCCAAGAAAAATGTGAAACGTACTTGTGTATTAAGCCCTTGCTTATTCTGTTTTCATTACAAGATCAATATAATTTTGCTTTGCTTTTTGCATCTCTCAATATATTGACACTAAAGAAGAAAAAAAATCTTCAAGTAGACTATGCGAATTGTCTCTCAATATCTCACAATAATTAATACATGGATTCCAAAGGAGAAATTCCCTTTTCTTTTAAAAGCAAGACTGTTACATTGCATTTGCTTTAGTTTTAAATACTCTGGTTTTTAATGAATTGTGAAGGTCATGGTGGTCTCAAGTAGCCGTTGGCTTTTAAGCTTTGTTTGGATTTGTATCCTGCGTCTGAATGTTGGTTGTCAAGCTTCTGGGCTCCATCTTCATCTCCACGCCATGTGTTGGTTTTGGTAATCGTCCAGTCTTGTTTGATATTTGCTTCACTTGCATCCCATTAATTGGTGTGTGGGGGGTGAGTGGCCTCATGATCCAAGTCATGATCCAAGTGAAGCAACAACAAACAAGAGTGCCTTGTAGCCTTAGACAATGTTCAAATGTGATTTCATATTTTGGTTTTGGGTGGAAGAACTATCTGCCTCGAACAGTTGAGGTAATACTTTGATCTTTGTCATCAGATTAAATACATGCTCAGAAATAATTTCATTAAAAAAATTTCCCTCCATCACCCGATAATTCTGTATGCCAAGTTTGGCGAGTTATTAGACTAAGCCAAGTTGCAAACCAACCTTGAACAACAAACAAAAAAACTATGCCCACCAACTGTTTGTTGAAAGGATAATTTCAAACAAAACAAAAAAAAACCTTGTCCAAGCTGAAATGAGTCTCGTTGACGACGAAAGTGATTGGCCTCTTCTATGCATTTGTTTTGTTTCGGGGCTTAAAAGGAAGGAGAAGTTAATAATGCGAAGTGTTGCTAAAAACAGAGCAGCAACCGTCAAACACTCCTTCAATAATGATACCCCAAGCAGATATTTCTTCTTTGTCTTCTTCTTCTTCTTCTCCGACGCCTCTATGGACGTACGACGTCTTCCTCAGTTTCAGAGGCAAAGACACCCGCACAGGTTTCACAGACCATCTCTATGCTGCTCTGATTCGGAAAGGAATTATCACATTTAGGGATGATGAAAAGCTCAAGAAAGGAAAATCCATCTCCGAGCTCTTCAATGCAATTGAACAATCAAGGTATGTGGTCGCCATTCTTTCGAGTAATTATGGCGATTCGACATGGTGTTTGGAAGAGCTTGCAAAGGCTGTTGAGTGCAAGGAACTGATGGGACAGACACTAATCCCAATTTTCTTTCACGTCCATCCATCTGAGGTGGGAAATCAAACAGGGAGTTTCGAGATAGCCTTTTCTAAGCATGAACAAGCCTTTAAAGGTAATTTAGAAAAGGTAGAAAGGTGGAGAGCTGCACTTTCTCAAGCAGCCGGTCTCTCAAGATACCATTATTTGCATAATGGGTACGTAAAACTTACTATTCTTCAAGTTTTTTTAATTCTTCTTTTTTACAAAAGCAAATATTCTATATGGTAGGCTACTAGATTTTAATAATTAGAAGTAATGAACTACAGTTTTAGAAATTATGTTCAATTATTTTTGGTTCTTGCATTTCTGGTGCTGACTGACTTACCCATGAGATGGTTATTTATTATTATTAGTTGCAACCTTTTGCAGATATGAATCAGAACTCATTCAAACTGTTGTCCTCAATATTTCCACTGAATTATATCAAACAATGCCAAGTGCATTTACAGATTTAGTTGGGATGGATTCTCGCGTAAAAGAAATGCTTTCGTACTTAGAGATAGGGTTGAATAAAGTACGCATGATAGGCATTTGGGGGATGGGGGGAATGGGTAAGACAACTATTGCTCATGTAGTTTCTGAAAGGATATGTGCTCAGTTTGAAGCATACAGCTTTCTTTCGAATGTTAGAGAGGTAACTGAAAAACAAGGTGTAGTTCATTTACAGAAGAAACTTCTTTCAGATATCTTGTTGGAAAGTAGTGTAAGCATACACAACACTTATACAGGAATCAGTATAATAGGCGAAGATTATGTACTAAAAAGGTTCTTATCATTCTTGATGATGTGGATCGGTTAGAACAATTGAGGGCATTGTCTGGCCATAATTGGTTCGGGCCAGGGAGTAGAATCATCATAACCTCAAGGGATAACGTGTGCTAATAGAACATGGAGTGGACAAAATATATCAGGTTAAGCCATTGACTAACAATGAAGCTCTTCAGCTCTTTAATTGGAAATCCTTCAGGAGTGACCAGGTTGGAGAAGAATTTCTCGAGCTATCTAAGAGTTTTGTAAAATATGCTAATGGCCTCCCATTGGCCATTGAAAATCTAGGTACATCCCTCTTTCAGAGAAGCCTAGAAGAATGGCCAGGTGCATTATTTAGACTAAAAGAAAGGCCTGACAAAATAACTTTTGATGTTCTTAAAGTAAGTTTTGACGGATTACAGGAAATAGAAAAAAAAATATTTTTGGACATTGCATTTTTCTTTAAAGGAGAGGACAAATATCGCGTAACAAGAATACTAGAGAGTTGTTATGGCCACTGTCCAGCCATTCATATTAAAGTTCTCCTGGAAAAATGTCTTCTAACTCCATTCGGAAGAAAATTGTGGATGCATGATTTGATACAAAAATTGGGTTGGGAAATTGTTCGTCAAGAACATCCTGAGGCAGGCAAACGTAGCAGGTTGTGCCTTCCCAATGATATCATCCCTGTGCTTGTAAATAATACGGTAAGAAATCCATAGAACTACAGATCTAGAGATTGTTAAACTTAAAACTAAGTAATTCATCGTCTTTCTATTTCTCGTATTGGGTGCTACAACTAATTCTTTCTTCTTCCTCTTTATTAGGGAATGACTCCGGTCCAAGGTGTATTCCTGAATTTTCAAAAAAATGAGGAGATTAACTTGAGTGTTAATGATCCTTTTTCAGAGATGAAAAATCTAAGATTGCTCAAAATTTGGAACGGGGACTTTTTTGGAAAAGCCAAATATCTTTCTAACCAGTTAGCACTTTTGGAATGGCATGAATGTGCTTTAAATTATTTGCCATCAGAATTTGAATCAGATAAGCTTGTCGAACTCAAGATGCATTCAAGTCGCATTAAACAACTATGGACAGGGGATAAGGTAAGATCACTGTTAGTCTTCTGAATGCACATTGTTGAATATATTTGAAGTTGGGGATATTTTTAGATTCTAGTCCCTGATCTATAAGATGTATTTAGAAAACCATGTAGCCTTTATCATAATCATATAAGGTTTGTAAAGACTTTTCAGTCTGTCTAGTGCTGAAACATCCATGCTAGTATGTTAAAAAATAAAAATAAAAAGTTATCCTCTTGCCAAAATTACTATTACTGCTGTGTCATAATTACTCTCTCTCTCTCTCTCTCTCTCTCTCTCAATTCTTTTTTCAAATTGTGAAAATATCATAGCTTTCATCCTACACATAAAATTCTATTGAAAGACAAAAGCGAACAGAAGTATATGTGAGACATATCATTATGGTAATGCAGTATAATTCACTTCTTCACATCATGAGAATGTATCTATATTATCTTGATGTGGTACAAGGCAGCTTTTCACAACATATAGTATCATATAGTATCATGGATACATGCTGCAACATAACTCACTTTTTATCTGTGCACATTGTCTTCACTGAGTTTCTGTATACAATATTCATCTTAGGTCTTGTTTGATAGATCTCGCAACTACAAGTTTATGAACAAACATGTAAATGAATTTGTGGTACTTAGAATTTTAGAGAGAAAAAGAAACTTTCTAAAAGGGGTACTAGTTAACAATTACAAGGGCTATTGCTAGTAACTCTCCAAAAAGGTACAGTAATCTCATAAAAACAGAGACAAAAATGAAGGAATCTAACTCAAATGGGGGAAAATCAAACATTTATATTTTAAACCAAAAAACACTTTTGATGAGGAGCCTTAAAATAATTTATTACTAATTTTTCTACCAATTATTATTATTATTATTATTATTGGACGAACCCATTATTTTTCTTTCAAACTATGTGACTATGTTTCAAATGATACCAGCATTGGAGCAGGCTAACATTCATTGATATGAGTGACTCCGAGTACTTGACCAAGACCCCCGACTTCACTGCGGTTCCAAATCTTGAGATTTTGGTGCTTCAAGGTTGTACAAGACTGGTTGAGGTTCACCCATCCATTGGAGATCTCAAAAAACTTATTTTGTTGAATATGAGAAACTGCAAATGTGTTGAGAGCATTCCACCTTTCAAAAGTTTGAAATCTCTTAAAACCTTTGCTCTGTCCTCCTGTTCAAGACTCAAGAAGTTTCCCGAAATTGAAGGAAATATGAAATTCTTGTTGGAGGTCTATTTAGATGAGACTGCTATTGAGGAATTGCCTACATCGATTCAACATTTCACCAGTCTTACATCGTTGAACTTAAGAGACTGCAAAAACCTTTTGTCTCTTCCGAGTACCATTCAATATTTGACATCTCTGAAAAGCCTCATTCTAGCTGGTTGTTCAAAGTTTGATGAGATACCTGAGAATCTGAGTTGTGTGGAATGTCTAGAGGAGCTTGATATAAGTGGAACTGCTATAAGAGAATCATCATTCGTTGTAGGTATGATGAATCTAAATATTTATCCTTCCGAGGATGTAAAGATATACCTTCAGAATCATGGCACTCGCTCTTTAATTGTTTGTGGTGCAGAAAGAGCCATGTCCCCACGAGTTTGTTGTTGCCTACTTCCTTCTCAAGTTTAACTTGTTTGACAGAGCTAGACATAAGTTATTGCAATCTGATGGATGGAGCAATTCCCAATGATTTTGGCAGCTTATTGTCCTTAAGAAAATTAAATTTAGGTGGTAATAATTTTGTTCGGTTACCAGAAAGCATCTCTCAACTCTCCAAGCTTGAATCTCTCAACTTGAGTAATTGTAGAAGGCTTCAATCGCTTCCTAAGCTGCCGTTAAGTGTTCAACATGTGAATGCAGAACATTGTATTTCACTAATGGATTGCCAAAATCAATTCAAACTATGTACTTCAGCTGTCTCAGAAATGACGACTGTCAATTCCCTCAACTCATCCGAGAATCAAGAATATTTTACTTCAGTTCCAAGATGTGTCTCAAGAACGTATACTTCTGCAGGCTTTGGAATCACTACTTTCAGTATATCATCTGAGCATCAACAATGGAAACCAAGTGTTGATTCATCGATGCCAACTCAACTGTTTCAAAAAGACCTTGAAGTCTCTCTCTCTCTCTCTCTCTCTCTCTCTCTCTCTCCACAGCACACACATGTAGCATTTCAGACACACTTAAATACTTATAGTCCTTTTCTGTTTTACGTTGCAGTTATTGGATTGTAGGTCATATTCCATGAGCTCTGTTTGTGCTCTAAATGAAATTCCAGAGTGGTTCAGCAATGTAGTTACTGGCGATTCCATAGAAATCTCAATACCTCCAGATTTGAAAGATAATAAGAAGTGGATGGGGGTTGCTGCTGTTTTCTTAGTCAAAGGACACCCTGCTGTTTCCGACAGTGAATCAGATTCAGAAACTTCTGATTACTTATATAGATTCACATTGCGAACTCATGAGTTTCAACTGGAACCATATCTCCTTGACTGGAAAGAAAGTTGCACCTTTGTCAGATTTAATTCTGATTGTTTTCTTTGTTTTTTCTATGTATCTCATCTGCGCTTTCCAAGGATGTTAAATGAATCAAGATCAATGTGGGCTTTATCGGAAACCAGCAGCCTGTGCATGGTGATCCAGAAATGTGGGATTCGTCTTGTTTATGAGCAAGATGTTGCAGGGCTTATCCAAACATTTATGCAGTGTTTTGATGGAGGCCAACATCAAATTGTTCTACAGGAAGTTGATAAAGCTACATTTGAGAGTCTGGATGGTTTAATGTAGTGCACAAGTACATTTTGAGACGGTAGAATTTAATTTTCCTTGAACTATGTTCTTTGTGTTTCATTTAAATTTCGTCATCATTGATGTGCCGTCATCTGCTTGAAAAGTAGACATTAACTCCTTTTTTTCTCCTTGCGTGTGTCTATATATATATATATATATATATATATATATATCCTTGCAGCCTTGCAGGGAGGAACTACTTCTGAAGAAGGCTATAATTCTGCTGAGAAGGAACATTAAGTCGGTTATTCTGAGATGCCTTCAGCTCTCTCTCTCTCTCTCTCTCTCTCTCTCTCTCTCTCTCTCTCTCTCCTCCAAATTGGGTCGTTGATGGTAATCAGATCATTTCGTGTCAAGTACCACCAGATCTCAAGAATTCATGGGCCGACGGGCGGGCAGGACAGAATGGGTGGGAACTACTAACCATGCGGAGAAAGTCACGTGGTTGCATGCATGCATTGAATTCTATTTGCTTCATCTATATAGCACGTGCTTGAATTCCTGATTCCTGGAAGCATAAGTAATGAATTCAGGGCAACTGTTCTGCCGCGTCCAATATAGCCTTGGCTTGGGATTGCATGAATGTGCCCTTGGTCCCCTCTCCTGCCAGTTATATGCAAATTGCCACCTAATAATCATTGTGATTCTCAAGCTGCAGAAGATGGAGATGATAATCATGTTACGTCCATGTTAAACGCATTTGACAGAAAGGCAAGGAAGAAGGGTTGCCTTCCAAATTCCTTTTCTTTAGTAAATTTTTGTGAAACTTTGAAAATAATGTTGTATATAAAGGGATAAGATATTTTCTTCGGGTATATTCATTATTTTGATGGTGATAATAAATAAGTGATTGTTGGTTCCAGCTTTCCATCCCATAATGCTCAGCATTGTTTCTGAACATGTAAACTCTGAAAATAAATAACAACCCTTTAGAAGAGCAGTGGATTTCCAGACAAAACTGAAACTTGGAACTGTTGCAGCGGCAAGAGCGAGAGCAAGAGCACTTCTTCTTTGATCCAATTGGTAATTTTTGAACCTGAAAATCAATCTCTACTCTTTCAGCTCAAGGAAAAGGAAGCCTTGATGTTACGCCCATGTGCTTGTGCGCGTCGCATCTCTCACAGAGCCTTTAGCACAATCAACCTTCCCACGCCTTCAGGCCTCAATTTGCAAACGAATAATCTTCTCGGCGAAGTGCAGGATCTCTCCACGCGCGGTCAAGTTAAGGAAGCCCTCTCACTCTTCTACACCCTTCAACCACCACCTCACTGCAATCAAACCTACGCCACTCTCTTCCATGCTTGTGCTCGCCACCACTGCATCCATGAAGGCCTGTCTTTGCACCATTACATGGTTGCCCAGAAACCCATCAACTCACCTGACCTCTTTGTCACGAACCACCTTATAAATATGTACGCAAAATTTGGTTACCTGGAATACGCCAACCAACTGTTTGATGAAATGCCTAGAAGAAACATTGTCTCTTGGACTGCTCTCATTTCAGGGTATGCACAACGCGGGGAAACTGAAAATTGTTTTCGTTTATTTGCTGGCATGTTGGTGCACTACCAACCCAATGAGTTTGCCTTCGCCAGCATTCTCAGTTCATGTGTGAAGAGTGACGTTGGATATGGCCGGCAGGTACATGCGCTTGCTTTGAAAATGTCTTTGGATGCTTGTGTTTACGTTGCAAATGCTCTTATTACTATGTATAGCAAGATTTGTAATCATGGAGGTGTTTATGATGTTAGTAAAGACGAGGCGTGGAATGTATTTAAGAGCATGGAGTTCCGGAATCTTATATCTTGGAATTCCATGATTGCAGGGTTTCAGTATCGTGGACTTGGAGCTCAAGCTATTCATCTGTTTATACAAATGTACCTTGACGGGAATGGGTTTGATCGTGCCACTCTTCTTAGCGTCCTTTCTTCCATGGGCAGAAGCAATGACCTTGATGATAATGGGGTTACTAAGTTTTGTTTTCAATTGCACTGTCTCACCATCAAAACTGGGTTTACATTAAAAATTGAAGTGGCAACTGCATTAGTTAAAGCTTATTCAGATCTTGGAGGAGATATTGCCGACTGTTACAGACTCTTCTCAGAGACAAGTTGTCATCGGGATATTGTTGCGTGGACTGGCATCATAACCACCTTTTCAGAGCAAGACCCTGAAGAAGCACTCTTCCTCTTTCGCCAGTTACGCCAGGAGAACTTACTTCCCGACAGGTACACTTTCTCAATTGTTTTAAAAGCTTATGCAAGCCTTGCAACCGAGCGCCATGCCTTGGCAGTTCATTCACAAGTGATCAAAGCTGGGTTTGAGGGCGACACAGTCCTTGCAAATGCCTTGATCCATGCCTATGCTAGGTGTGGCTCCATTGCCTTATCTAAGCAAGTGTTTGATGGAATTGAATTTTATGATGTCGTTTCTTGGAACACAATGCTTAAGGCTTATGCCTTGTATGGACAAGCTACAGAGGCATTGCAGCTGTTTTCACGAATGGACGTCAAACCTGATTCCGCCACCTTTGTTTCCCTGCTCTGTGCTTGTAGCCATGCTGGACTGGTAGAAGAAGGAACCCAAATCTTTGACTCCATGCTTGAGAGGTATGGTATTGTACCTCAACTTGATCATTACGCCTGCATGGTTGATATTCTTGGTCGAGCTGGAATGATTGTTGAGGCTGAGGAGCTTGTAAGTAGAATGCCAATGGAGCCTGATTCTGTAGTCTGGAGCGCACTCCTTGGATCATGTAGGAAGCATGGAAAAACACAATTGGCCAAGTTAGCAGCAAATAGAATGAAGGAGCTAGCACCAGAGGATTCATTAGGTTATGTACAAATGTCAAACATGTATTGCTCTGATGGTAACTTTGGTGAAGCAGGCCTGGTTAGGAAGGAAATGAAAGGGTCTAGAGTGAAAAAGGAACCTGGATTAAGCTGGATTGAGATCGGAAATCGGGTCCATGAGTTTTCATCTGGAGGCCGACATCATCCAGAAAGGAAGGTTATATGCAGCAAGCTAGAAGAACTGATTGTGCGGTTAAAGGAAATGGGTTATGTTCCAGACACAAGCTTGTCTGTGCATGATGTGGAAGAGGAACACAAAGAGGAGCAATTGTACCATCATAGTGAGAAGCTGGCTTTAGTATTTGCTATCATGAATGAAGGCAGTTCAAACTGTAGTCGGACTGCTATTAAAATAATGAAGAACATCAGAATCTGTGTGGACTGCCATAACTTCATGAAGTTAGCATCAAATTTACTTCACAAGGAGATTTTTGTGAGAGACTCAAACCGGTTCCACCACTTTCATGATGGCATATGTTCTTGCAATGACTATTGGTAACAAACTAGCAACACGAAACCAAATTAAGCTGGTTGTGCCGGTTTTATCACTATGCTTCATCGGTCCCTGAATGGTTCATGCAGATGCTGTTGATACAATCTTTAATTTAAAGATAGGCAGTGCTTTTCGAACAACTCAGTTCACTATGCAAGAGTTACCTGCATGAGCATGACTGGAATTTATCAGAGCTCGACTGCAAAAGAGATGAACTGCCTACTTATAGGAATGCAATGCAACTGATCATCATCAAACTTATAGTCGATTCAGCATTGGGTGCTACAACACATTTGTGTCGAGAACATATGAACAGAGTGTAAAGTTTTCGAAACCGAGGACTTGTCGATTTGCTAATGTAAGATGCAAAAAGGCTGTGTTGTACAGTAACAGTATGATTTTTGGCAATTACCAGCAAACCCATTTTGCGCTTAAAAAAAATGGCGCAAACCCATTTTATGGTTTAATACCACTGAAAATGTATCAAAGATTTTAATTATTATTTTCTTTTTTGGACACCCAGAACTCTGCTTTTTATTGCACATTGTTGAGAGTATGGAAAACCTAGGAAATTTCATCTTCTTGTCAAATCCAAATCTTTTCTTTCAAAAACCCACATAGAAATGGAGACTCAAATTCCATTCCATGATGGGATTGAATGAAAAAAAGAAGTAAAATTAGGTACTATATTTCCCATGTCTAGTTGGTAGAGGGTTTATCCTTCCCTGCTTAGTTTTCTATTCTTGGGCCTTGGGCCTTGGGCCCTCCTATGTATCCAAAGAAAAAAAAATTAACAGAATACGAAAATTTCTAAATTTAATTTTTTTCTCCTTTCCTTTCCCTGGGAGGAGAGGGAAAGAAGACGTGTCGTTGTATTATTCATTACAGCCTTTAAAAAGGAATACTAGTAAACAGTATAAATAAATCAAACGACGCCCCTCCTTCGTTGTAAGATTTCAAGATCAACATTTCTTCTCTCTTCAAACAAAGCACCAGGGTCGTTTTTGTCTGTCTTTGACTACGTCGTTTCGAGCTAGGGTTCCGCCTCCGATCTGACTGCTAAGGAAGTTCAACCCACCATGTCCACGCACTCAAAATCCAGTGTTTACATAGGTCAGTACACTGCTCCTATAATTTTTTTTTAATTCTCTAGTAGCAGTTCCCCTTAAAGTCAGTAACTCGAAAACATCATTTAAAAAAATTAATTCTTTTCCATGCTTGTTTGATGGAAGCTGGTTTTTTTTTCTTATCCTCTTAGGAATTAGTTTTCATATATTATTTTCATTTTGTTTATATATAAAAAAGTGTGTGTGGATAAGTCTGTGCTTCTGGGTGCCAATGATAATTTCAAGATTCAAAATTTAGTTTGAAAAGTGTTTCTGCTGAATGACTCTTGTATTGTAGGGAATTATTTTGTTATATCTATGATGAAGAATTAATCTTCAGAATAAATGGTAATGATTAATAAAACTAATCTAATAAATGGTAACATGTACTGCCCCCTTGCTTCTATCTTCATTTATTTTTATCCTATTAATTATGACATTTATTTTTAACAATAACAGGTAATTTGGACGAGCGAGTGAGTGAGAGAGTTTTGTATGATATTCTAATTCAGGCGGGGAGGTTAGTAGACCTACACATTCCTCGGGACAAGGAAACCGACAGACCTAAAGGTTATGCTTTTGCAGAGTATGAATCTGAGGACATTGCTGAGTATGCTGTTAGGCTCTTCTCTGGTCTTGTGACTCTCTACAATCGGACACTGAAGTTTGCGGTAATTTTTTTGCATTCCACTTGTTTGCCTCTCCACAAATGGTCTTCTATTTCTTTGGCCTGGGTTTGGGCCCTTTAACATTTATAGATACTGTGAGACTCTCCATTAATATTCTGGAATAGTGAGAATTCTGTCATTTCACCTGATGATTTATATTCTTGCTGTTATAACCCAGTGACAGTGATGTTAGCTCATGTTATGTGGGTTGCCTTTCTGTGATTGGTGACAGACCAGCATTTGGAACATTTTCACTGTAGGCTATTACTGTTCTAAGTGAGACCCTTGACATTGATTCATTTTTTTGGCTCACAGATTTCTGGGCGAGACAAGCCTTCACTTAATACTCCTTCAACGGTCGCATCCGCATCTAGTTTTTCTCACAAACTGAGGTCTGCTCCATCACCAATTAACAGTATGGAAATCTCTCCGAATTCCATTGGTTTATCAACACCCAGAATTTCAGACTTTCCACTAAACTATCCCCCAGGTGATATGTTTGTTCTTTCCTTCTGTTTCATTTGCTTGATTTCATTGTTTTAATTTAAAAAAACTCAACATGCCATCATTTGGCTTCTTTTTTTTCATACTTGCTGAAACATTCTTTTTTTTATTCAGTGCCCACTCCCCCTGGTGTAAATAAACAATCTAATGGGTATGGATTACCTAACAATGGCAACAATTACGAATATAGTCGAAGAGTTATTGGGGCAACTTTGGATACCATTAGTCGCTCTAGGTCACGCCGCCATGATATGAGCAACCCAATCTCCTATCCCTCTTACTAGAATTTAATATGAAGGTGATTAGGTGTCAGACCTTTTCCATGGCTAATCTTTCTGGTAAATTAGCAACTAAAGTGTATTACTGGTGTGAGTATTTAGTGGGTAGTGGAAGATTCTCCATTTGAGTAAGCTAGTTTGTATTGCTAGTATGTCCATTCATAGGTGTACCCAGGTATGTATATTTGTTGTGCTTCCTGTGTTTAGATTTGACTAGTTGTAGTTTTGTTCATGTAGTTAATGTAGTTTAATTAACAGTAAGATGCTTCTCTCAAGAGGCTGAACTTTGGAATTCAAAGAAACAAGTTTATCATATGATTGTTTATTTATGTACTCCATTTGGAATCATTATATCTTTTTTTATCATAATTTTAATGTTTTTCATTTTTGTTCTGATTTCTTGTATGTAATTGTGGACATTTAAAGCAAAGCTTGATGGAGTTCCATTGAAATCATGAGACTGGTACACTTTATTTGTTGTGCTTATATATGCTCTCTCTATTTGCATGTATGCCCAATATGTGCATGCAGTGATCTCATATTGTGTTCTTTTGTTAGTTTATATTTTCTCCATAGCTGTGTAACAACTCAATGAGATTAGTTTTGTGCTATGCAAAGTAGTTACAAGTTGTCGGTTTGAACTTAGCATTCTCCATCCACTACCTAAGTCCAAGTTGAAATGGTTTATTCTTCTAGAAGCATAAAGTGATATGTATGACTTAGAGGAGTTGAATTTCCATTGTCATTATTTTGACTATTAATATGGTCTGATATGGAGGCTAGTATGGATGCAGCATTTTGGTTAAAAGTTGCTCCACTATTTTGAGTGGGCTGCATTGTAAGCTTCTTGATGCTGTTGTGGTAGTGGGTCTATATGTTATTGGTTATGAGAAGCTCTATTTTTGAAATGATGTAATTAATGAAACACCAAGCCTCTAGGTCTAGAAGGGGCTTCCTGGTTAAATAGGATTCGTTTTTTATCTTATATATAAACTACATTGTTTTTGGAAACAATAATTACATAAAGCCTAAAACAACGTACAATAGAAAATCCAGGCTCTAATACATGCTCTATGTGTGTTGTTACATATGTATGTCAAAGGGGACAGTCCCAAGAGTCGAGAGGTAGATTTTTAAGTTAAAAACAGTCGAACTTTGGGTTCATTTATTAAAGGATAAAGAGCGAAGACGTGTTGAAATAATGGGTGTAGAACGTTGCAATGTTAATTGCATTGGTCAAACTTTTGTTTGGATCATGGTGGTTTGATTTGGTCATTTGTGATCAACTCTAGACTGTGTTTGATATTATTCAGGGTTTATTTATGTTTTAAGATATACTGTCATTTCATTTGTTACATTGAATGTTTAACTTAATGCAATCTCCTTTTTAATTAATTGTGTTAGTCTTGTAATATAGTTCTATATTTCTTCGATCAAGACTACATACACTTTATCAGCATTGCTCATTGAATATGAAAGGAGCATCACATGTGCCCTTTCCTATTTTATTTTCATTTAGTGGACTATCTTACTTTGCTTGGTCTATTTATTTTTTTAACTTTTGACTTCTTCAGGCGGAGCTTTGATTGAGATTTTCTTGGGTTTTCATTGTATGAATATGAATTTCATGCTCATTCAAATATAGAAATGCCTTCTTCCCTTTGAGTACTGCTAAATAGATCAAATTTTGGGACCGCATTACCTGACCACATTGTGTGACAGGTGATGTGTGTATTAGTGGTATATTAACAGATGTGATAATAATCAATTCCTACATGTTACATAATGTCATCTAGATATGTGGTTTGTTGGTGTATACAAATGCAATGTTGGTGCTCTCTTGTGCTCATTGAAGATTAATCAAGCAATTGCATGCGGTAAAAATCTGATTTGGTGTGCACATGCATTTCTTCTTTATCAATATATGATTTGGTATTAAGGTTTTGCATTTGCACACCAAATCTGATTTGTACTGCAAGATTGATCAAACGTTTCTTTAGTTTCTCAGTATTATGTGCGCATGAATTTCTTCCTTATCAGGATATGATTAAGTAGAATGGTAGAGCATGTCTTCTGCACGTGTATAATATGTGCACACTTACCTCACACTATGAGAGATATATTTTCACATACAATGCTCCTCTCATATAAATGGTTATGTGATCAGCGCATGATGAGGCAGGGTAACTGCTGAGACAGTGACAGTGTTTTCTTTTTATTTTGGTATTTTTGGAAATCTGTTAGTAGAAATAAGATAATGTCAAGTGAAGTTGCAGGGTATCTATGAGTTGAAAGATATCTCGTATTATAAGTTTTTAGCTTTAATTTATAGATTGTATAACACATGGTATTTCTTAACTGGACAATGTATGTCACTCATCCTACGCATGGGAGGAACACGACATGAAGTGCCCCTCTAAATTACCCTAAACCAAAACATCGACAATTTCCTTGTCAATTCAGAGATCCCAAATAATTTTGTTCCATTGGTGTATTAATGGTCTCAAAATTGCTGTTGCAAGCTTTGGATTTTGAAAAGTTGAAAAAGTAATTTTGTTCGGTTTATTGGCTGTGGGCTAGTATTTCTTCAAATTCACAGCCAACAAAGAAAAAGATGATTCGCCTCTTTTTTCTCTCTTTCAAATGTTTCTTCAAACCCTTGAACAGAAGTTGAAAATTAAAAGCAGAAATTTTGTGGATGCCTTGAAAGTACTTTGTGGTTATGCGCATGACAGGGAGAGTAAGTACTGAACGTGTATGTTATATTGAACTTGATGTGGTGCAGGTTCTCCTTGATGGCTTCTTATGTTACTTGGAAAACAAAGAATTTAAAAATTAAAAGAACTGGTCTTCATCCTCCCAAGAGATCCAATTCATCCTTTTTGTTAATCTGACCCGTCAATAAAGAAGTTGATAAAACATTAAGATGCCCCGTCAATATGGAGGAGGGGGAAAAACCATGATTTAATTGTGGATTGGTATACTTTTCCCAAATCCCACAAGTTTCAACTAGCAAGCGAAATGCACAACCTAGCATGGGTAAGAAATGGAACATGTTTCTATAAATCTGTTCTAGACAATTACAAATTGTACAATGTATGGGCTGGGAGACCGGGCATCCATAATCTATCTTCCTAATTGGCTAATCAAAACTACATCGTCCTAATAAACTCGTACCCTACGGTGGTGAGGATGGCAATCCTAAAGGGTGGCAGAGGGAGTATTGGGCGTGAAGAGGTGGACGTATTGCCGCCGGGAGTTTGATCGGGGGTTAAGAGAAGGATAACAGCATCAGATTCGGGTTCCAGTATCTTTTTGGAAGGACCCGTGAAGCTTATGGCTGTCCCCAAGAGGAAGGTGATATGTTTATATAGTTTGTTGGATATGGTTGTTTCAGGGTTTAGCCAAAAAAAACACTTAAATGTACTTGTTTGTTTAGGAAAGAGAAATACTTTCCTTCACTTTTGAAATTCATACTCGGGATTTGTAAGGTTTGTCAAACGGCTCGATACAGTTCCAGTTTGAGTTTGACTCGTTTTCTGCTGCTTCGAGCTCAATTTACAGAGAAATGAAATGAGCTCTAACAAAATATTGGACTCGTTTTACAACCATTTTCCTTCTTTCTAAAATTTGAAAACAGTCTCTTAAAAGTGGTAGCATGATGTGATCTTCCCTTTCTTTCCTATGCATTATGCAACGTTGTAATTCTAACTCTTGGACCACACATGAAAATCCAAAAGCTTTAATTTTTGACTCATAACCTGCTCTTTGTGAGCCTACAGTCATCTACTTACCAAATCATACTAAAAAAGAAAACACAGAGAAAATAAATATCCCATCCATTTTATGGTTGGGATAATCAGAGATAAGTATCTACAATATAACCCACTCCTATCTGAGTTTTGAGGTGTCTCCAATCCAATCAACTTCTGTAGCTCCCGGCAAAGTATGCCAAGGGTCCAACAATAGCACCATTTATGTAGGTTGCAGGTTCTGAATGACTATAGTCGCTGCGGTCATCTGGGAACCCATCATTCTGATTTGGACCTCCCACAATGGCTCCAACCAATATGTTAGGGTTTGGGTTTGCAGAATAGAAGAATGGTTGGAAACCACCATCACAACCCATGTTCTGTGGGTGGCTTGCCTTTGAAGGCAATGAAGATCCTCTGTGGTGAATTCTCTTGGGAAAATAGGGCCCATATCCTACCATGTACGACATCTTCAGAGGGTTTACCCCTAATATGTAGTCCACCTAAAATTTCAATTCAAATCAGTCATCTATAAATCATAAACATATACTTATGTTGTCAGACTGTGAAGTGGTATAGATTCGAATTAAGTGATATACCTGCTGTTTGGCCAGGATTTTTAAGGCTCTTGGAGTGATGACGAGGCTGCCGCAGTTAAATGTTTGCTTTCTAGCAGCCATGTACTTTGAGTAGGTAGTAAGCAAGAATGTTATTGAGGTCACATATTGGAGGTTACTTCCAGGCAGCTTGTACATGAGCCCTCCTTGTGTATATTGTGTACTTGAAGAGGGTGAGTTTGGAAAAATCCGGCACATAAATTGCTCAGCTTCTTGTCTAAATGGCTCAAAGTTGTTGTCGTTGCTCAACAATGCCCTCTGAGAAGTAAACCAGACTCCAATATTGAATAAATTTATAATTAATGAAAAAGAAAAAGGATATAGGCCTGCAAATTTACCCTTGATAATAGAACATAAGCACCAGCAAATTTGTTGTCCCAGCTGAAGATGTCTGTTGAATCACTAGCTCCCAAGGATTTCAGAAAATTGAAGTAATAAACATCATTTGTTGCTCTAAGAAGCCATGCAGCTCCCCACAAAAGCTCATCCTGAAATTTTGTACCAAATTGGAGAGCTCAGTCGTTAACATTTATATTTTCCACTTTCCTTCTTGAAATTGATACATGTAGAAATTATTAGCAACAACATACCTTATATCCAGAATATGAGCAATAAAATGGGCAGACTGCAGATCCAA